TGTTGATCTGCGATCTTCTTAAAACTGTCTATCTCTAATTTATTAATTTTTGCATTTTTTTTGCACTTGGGAACATTTCCTATTGTCCTTTGTTGCTGAGTTTACATCATGTCCTGAACAGTGCCGTAGTTTATTTCAATTAATGCTTTCTTGTTCCTGGTACATAGTTTCACTTTGAGTATTCTTCTGATGGGATGAATACTCTGCTTTTTATCACACTCAGACAGAATTTGATTCCCTCATAATTCCCCACTCTCCTTCACACTCCCAGCCCAAGATCAGAGCCAAGCATTCATGCGGACTCCCAGGGTACAATCAAGACTCTTTTTGATTGGATAAACTGACTTTGCCAACGATACTTTTACATGACTCTTCTCCAACCCACTTCTCTTGTTTTATTTCATGCACCTCTGTGGCACAAGCCTTCTCCCAAGTCTAGAGTTTCCACCTGTATCTGTAGGAAAACCTCTCAAGGTGGTTCAGCCAACGAATTCCTTAGCTGGATCCTTGGTGTTTTTCATAAAAGGAAATAAGGAGTACCCTGTCATCTTTAGGTTGGTATTGGTAGTCCAAGCATTAGGAAAAGAAGGACCTAGTCTTCTTATTCTAGAGTTTTCAGGCACTTGCAAGAGAGATGGTACTTTATGAAACTCTCGCCAGGGAGCCCACAATATAGTCTGGCAATGGGTTAGGAGACAGTAGCTCCACCTTTCCTTGGCCGTATTCATTCAATGTTTATTGGCCACCTATTGGGTACCTCTGCTCTTCTATGTGGAGTTTTCAAACCAGAGGGGCAGACAGAGTTGTGGAAAATGATGATACATTATGGGAGAGTGTAGCATTTAATTCAGCCTGATGCGGGGAAATCAGGGTGAGGAAAGGTGATGCCTGTGAAAAGCAACCAGATGAAGGGGCTCAAGATATTCTAGAATGAGACTACAGTGCCAACGAAGATTCAGAGGGAAGGACAACGTGATTACAGCAGCCAAAGGGCTACAACAGTGAAGGGATCGGGGAGCTGAGGGGCTGAATGTGTACCTAAGTACAATAGTCCCCACTTACCTGCGGTTTTGCTTTCCACAGTTTCAGGTACCCAGGGCTAGACAACCTCAGTCTGAAAATATTAAATGGAAAATTTCAGAAATAAATTATTTACAAGTTTTAAACTGCCGTTCTGCCTGGCCAGTGTGCCTCAGTGGTTGAGCATCGACCTATGAAACAGGAGGTCACAGGTCGATTCCCATTCAGGGCACATGCCCCGGTTGCGGGCTTGGTCCCTGGTGTCGGGCGTGCAGGAAGCAGCCGATCGGTGATTCTCTCTCATCATTGATGTTTCTATCTCGCTCGCTCTCCTTCCTCTCTGAAACTAACAAAAATATCTTTTAAAAAAATAGCTGTTCTGAGTAGCATGATGAAATCTCCTTCCATCCCACCTAGGTCTTGAATCATAATCTTTGTTAGCATATCCACCCCCATTAGTCACTTAGTAATCAACTTGATTATCAAGATCAGTTATCAGAGAGAGAGAAAACATTCACATAACTTTTATTACAGTATATTGTTATAATTGTTCTATTTTATTATTAGTTACAAATTAGTTAACCCTACTGTGCCTAATTCATAAACATTATCATAGGTATGCATGCATAGGAAAAAACGGTATATATAAGGTTTGATACTATCTGCGGTTTCAGGCATCCACTGGAGGTCTTGGAACATATTCCCCGTGGGTGGCAGTGGACCACTGTATCTCCATTTAGCACTTATTTCGCCTTAGAAATAGTTTATATTTAGTTAACAAATAAACATACATAGCGCTATGTATCTTGTTTCCTTACATGGTTTCTCAGGGTAGCAAACAAGCAAAAGTGGAAAAAGCAAGGCCTCTTAGATCCAAGGCCAGTGGTTCTCAACCTTCTGGCCCTTTAAATACAGTTCCTCATGTTGTGACCCAACCATAAAATTATTTCGTTGCTACTCCGTAACTGTAATGTTGCTACTGTTATGAATCGTCATGTAAACATCTCATATGCAGGATGATCTTAGGCGACCCCTGTGAAAGGGTCGTTCGACCGCCAAAGGGGTCGCGACCCACAGGTTGAGAACCTCTGTTAGGCTCAGAACTTGCCCAATGTCACTTCCACTGCATTTTTTTTTTTTTCGTCCAAGCAAGTCATAAGCCTCAGATTCAATGCGGCAGGTGATTACAATGTGGCTTGAATTCAGGGACATGTGATTCATTGGACACTTGATGAAAACAATGGCCTAAGGAGCAGAGAAGAGAAAAAGGGACCCAGAAAAACTTATGAGGTAGAGTGGGTAGGACTTTTCTCCCCATCAGTCACTTTAAGGCAAAGTCACACTTCTTTGTTGTTTTTATGGGCAATGGCGTTTGGCAATTGAAGGAATAACATAAAAAGACTCCGAGGTGCCTGACTTTGGCAACCAAGTAGATAGGGTGGCAGGTTTTTAAGAGAAAAGTGCTGCTTTGAGTTATGGATTAACTGGTTGATTTTGAGATGCCAGTGTGACAATCAATGGAGATGTGGGGTAGACAAGTTAGAGATACAAATCTGAAGCCTAGGAGAGAGGACTGGACTAGAATGGCAAATACAGAATCCATCAGCTAATAGGTGGTGGTAAGAAGCCATAGATTTCCCGGAAGCATGTAGAATGAAAAGAAGAGAGGCTGGGATGACAGAAAAGGAAGAGCTATATTTAATGGTGAGAAGAGGAATAGAAGTTCCTGTAGGAAACGTAAAAAGAACTAGAAAGACAGAAGGAAAACTAGGAACAGTGGTATCCCACAAGTCAAGGACAGAATGCTTGTGTGATGATGGGTGAGGGGGAGCTGCAGGAAGTTAAAGAGTTCCCTCACAGAAAGCGGAAGCGATCTACTCATTGAGAAGTGTGTGTGGGCTTAAAGAGTATGTGGAGGGAAGGCTTGTAATATTAGTGCTGAGAAAGTAAATCTTTGAATGCTGCTTCCTGCCAAGTTGCTGTTCAATTTTTCTCACTTTCACACTAAACTTCGCTTTTGCATTCTCTCTTCCTCTTCAATCCTTAAATTGTAGTCTGAGAATTTTCTCTATATAACAATGACTTAAAAAAATCACCAATCACTTTTGTGTTTCGCCTAATATACACTGTGTCTGTCATTTACTATTATTTGTTCAGGAGAATGAATATGCCTGATATTCTTAACAAATTCTGTAATTTGTTTAAGTTATTTAATTCTGATTTCCTACAGTGAAATTCTCCCAGCCTCAGTGGAATGTTGGAGGCATTGATAAAGTGAAGTTGTAAGGTACAGGGACATCTAAGTAGCTATAATTATATCATTTGCCTAATAGGATTGTTTCAGGGATTAAATGAGATAATGAAATAATAATATATATCCTATATAATAAAAGGCCAATATGCAAATAGACTGAACGGTGGAACAACCGAACTGGTTGCTAAGATGTGCGCTGACCACCAGGTGTGTGCATGGAACATGGCGGGAGTTGGCTGTGGCAGGATGGCGGAGCAGGTGAGCTGGGGCACCAGACCAAGGCGGGGCACCAGTCGCTATCATCAGGGCGAACCTCCGGTGGTTACTGAAAATTCTTTGCTCCTGCACACCACGGTCCCGCCTGGCACTCGCACCTACTGCCGGTGCCAGCCCTGCTCGCACCCACTGCCGGCGCTGGAGCCGCTGCTTGCACCCGCTGCCAGCACCTGCCGCTGGCCCTGATTGCTTGGCGCTGTCAGCCATCCCTGATTGCCCCTGAGGGCTTCTCCACCTCCCCCTGCTCCTGAGGGGCAATTGGGGCAGCAGCAGCCGCTCGCACCAGCTGCTGGCACTGGCTCCAATCGCTCTGCACCATCAGCGGGTGTGAGCGGGGGCCAGTGCTGTCAGCGTGTGGGAGTGGCAGTGGCAGGAGTGGGGCTGCTGGCAGACAGGGGATGGGGGGGTGGGGGGTGTTGGAGGCCACGGCAGGAAGGGCTGGGCAGGGGCGTGGAGGATGGGCCGAGACCCACCCCTGTACCCCCGCAGCCTCAGGGACTACAGTTCCTTTCAAGATGCACGAATTCGTGCACTGGGCCCCTAGTGATATATAAAACAATACATAAATATATGTAATAATACTATTTGTTATTATTACTATTATTATAGGATAATGTGAAATTCTCAATAAATATCTGGCATGTGATAGCAAATGGTAATGACTATTTTAGTTTGAAAATTAGCAAACTAAAATTTAGCGAGTGAAAAAAGAACATTCAGTTATTTGGGAGTGCTTAGGCAGGAAAATATTTGGTGTTTATGAAATGTCTGGAAATTGCTTCAAAATAATCTCCAGTGATGATGAGGGTCTGGTACAGGAATTGGCCACACTATTGAAGCTGGGCGTTCATTCTAATTTTTGTATACACTTGTAAATTTCATAATAAAATGTTATGATTTGTTTCACTCTATGCAACTATGTTGACAATTGATATATTGAAATGTTGATATATTGAAATGTAATGAAAAGTTAGTTTGTAACTGCTTAAATGACTTTTTGGGGTTTAGGCATCTTTTTTCTTCTTTTTTTCCTTTCTTTTCTTTTATTTATTTTTTTTCAAATTTTGTTTTATTGCTTAAAGTATTACAAACAGTATTACATATGTTTCCTTTTTTTTTTTTTTCCCCTCCTTGAGGGGTTTAGGCATCTTACACATCACTCCACTCCCTAAAGAAAGGCAATAATGCAAGGAATATTTAATTTGAAATGAAGATGATTTGAATTTACAGCTCTTACATATATCATAAATGGGAGTCATTTCAATAACTAGTCCCAGAATATCTTTTTCCGTTCCACCTAAACAACTTTAGTCATCATTAAAAGGAAACTACAAGTCCCAGGATGCACTGCACGACTGACGTGGAATTAGGGACCTCGCGTCTTGGAATTGGTCTCCCTCGCCTTATTTGAATGGGAATAATCCGGGGGAAATTGACCTCTGTGACCCAGAGCAGATTTTTTGAGTCTTTGTACTCCTGGGTCGGCTGAGAGTGCAGTTCGGGGGGGACCCGCGCGGTTCCTTTCTGTTCAGGTGCCGCCCTGGGCAGCCTCCCCCATTCCTGGGGCTTCCGTGCGCACGGGGCGCCGTTAGCGCGCCTCCAAGATGGCGACGCTGTTGGCGGTAAATTCGGGTAAGCGCGGTGGGCAGAAGAGAACCGGGCTGGGCGGTGATCGGCATTCCGGGGGCGCACCGGGCCGTGAGTCTCCTGGGCGTCCAGGCCCCCCTTGTGCGTGGTGCCCGCGCTCCCCTGGCCCTGGGCCCGAGTGCCGCCCCTCCCCAGTTTGAATGGCGCGCTCGGCCCTGCGGCTCTAGCCTGGGCGCTGGGGGCGGCGGGTGGAGGCGAGGGGCGTGGTCCCCCGCAGCCCGGCGTGCGGTCTCGCGCCGCCCAGGGCCAAGCCTGGGCCTCCGCACTCCCCATCCCGTCGCGGCTCTGCGGCCTGAATGTTGCTGGGATCCGGAAGTCTCGGCAGTGAGGCCAGAGGACCTGAGGTTGTTCAGCCTCGAGCGCCGGCGAAAACGCGCGCCCCGCGGTAGCGCCGGGACCCCTCATGGAGGCCAGGGGGTCCTGCAGGGAGCGCGGACCCCCGATTGTGAAGCCTGCCACCCGGAAGGTGGCCGGGAAGGTGCGCCTCGCGCGCCGCAGATGCCTCCCGGGGCTGCGGGGTGGCGAGTCCTGGATGCGCCCGGACCTTCGGAGCCCTAGAGCTTCGGGGCGCGATAGAATCTAGAAGGCGGCGGAGGAACCTGGAGGATTTGGGGTGGGTTCTCTCTCGGCAGTTCGCAGCCTGGGGCGACCCACCCCTCACCCTCTGGGGCGTTTGAAAGAGTGGGTGCCTTTTGATGGTCACAGTTAACTGTTGGCGCCCAGGGGGCGGGGCAGGGATGCCTGAAAATGAATTTGCAGCTTAGAATGTCAGTGCCCGGGTTGAAACGTACTTAGCTTCATGGGCACAGTTAAGAGTGTACCTGTGTGGTAGATGCTTGCAGGGGATGTCACTCAAGAGGACTCTTTCTTGGGCGCCTCTGCTTCCCGGCTCTCTGCAGTCATTATTTACTGTTTTTGTGTTTTTGGTTCTGGTTTGGTATGCCTTCCACTGGACTGATACTGTTAAAAAGTTGTCTATGTCTGCGTTTTTCAAATCAAAGCATTTCAGAAACAACCGTGATACATTATGTAAAATAATAAAGTGTCAATGGCTCAGTGGTTAGGGTTGGATTCCGTCAAAGGCACGGACCTCGGTGGCAGGCTCCATACCCTGCCCCGGGTATGTGTCTCTCTCACATGGCTGTTTCTCTCTCTGTCTCTCCCCCTCCCGTCCACTCTGAAAATCAATGGGGGGAAAATAATCCTCAGGTGAGGATGAACAAAAAAAGAATGAAGGATTATGATTATTGAGCACCTCTTGTTTCTCAGGAACTGGACTGAGTTGTACTTTCATCTCATTTGGTTCCCTTCATGCACCGGTGGGTAGCTGCTATTAAATACCCCGTTTTCCAGATGTGGAGGCCTGGAGTGGTTATACAGCTAATGATTCTAAGCCTGTCTTTGATACTCAAAATGAATACATGCTACTACTTAAATACAACTTAATTGATTTTATTACATCAAATTTCCTTATAGCTGAATGTTACTAATGAAGTTACTTCCTTGGTTTTGCTATCCTGTCATCCCACCCTGATGCAAACTTATAAGCAAGGCTTGCAGGCTATATACATTTCTTTAGTACATACTCATGCCATTAGAGCTAAATCATTGAAGGAAAAAGGATAGTAAATTCTGTCAACAGCCAAAGTGTATATACATTGTATAATCAGGTCTAGTGGCGGGAGTGCTTAATTGGCAAAATAGGAAACATTTTGAAAAGCCAGGAGTCAGGAGAATACATATATATATATATATATATATATATTTTTTAAATTAAATCTTAGGGAAGCAACTTAAGTGTCCATAGGTGGATAAATGGATAAACACTGTGGTCTATACCTACAGTAGAATATTATTAACCTTGAAAAGGAAGTCCTGTCACATGCTACAATATGGAAGAACCTTCACATTGAAGTGAAGTAAGCTAGTCACAAAAAGAAACTGTGATCCCACTTAGATGAGGTATCTAAAGTAGTCAACCCCCTAGAAACAAAGAATGTTGGTTGCCGTGGCTGGGGGAAGGTGGAAATGAGGAGCTGTTGAATGGGTACAAAGTTTCAGTTTTGCAAGATGAAAAAGTTATGGAGATCTGATGTGCAACAATGAATGCATTTTACACTACTGAACTGTGCACCTAAAAACGTTTAAGGTAGCCAATTCTGTTAGATGTGTGTGTGTTTTTAAAACCACAATTCAAAAAAAAAGAGTTGCAGAGGGAGAAAAACAGAGAAGTTATAAGGTTTACAGCTGTATGATTTACTAGTATTGTAACTTGTATCATCCTGGCCGAGTAAAGGTATGGCTTGTTGTTAGTGCAACCTTTGACACTGCTTGACAGTCCTTCATCTGTAACTTCCAACTGACCCCTCAGTCTTCTAGTCACAGAACAAATAGAAGCCAACAGGCGTGAACTCTCTCTCTTTTTTCACCCTCAAACCTACAAACTTATATATATCCTCACCCTTTGAATCAATGTACTTGTGCCTTTCTATCTAAGGTAAATCCCCTCCTTTATGCCTTTTCCCCTATTACCCCATCTCTCATATATTTACCCCTCTTCTTGCTGCTTTTCTTTCCACTAGCCTCCCCTCCTTATCTTGATCTCATGCTTCACTCCAGTTACTCTCCTCTTGCCCCTCTTCACAGTCAAACCTTTCAACAGGTTCCTCAGTCTTCACTGACTTCATTTCCATATCTCCTCTTCCTCCACCCCATCTACTCTCTTCCTGTCTTCCTAAACAGCTCAGTAAAAATCCAGCAGACACTTTTAGTCTTTATCTTGCTTGATCTTTTAGGATAAAGATCGAAATCCTTAACACGGGTTGGTGAGCCCTGAAGGGTGTGGCAGTTGCCTCCCTTGCCAAGCCCTTGATTTCTGTACTCCAGCTCTCCTTGGCTTCTCAGTTCTTTGAAAGTGTAGTGTTCCCTGTTGCTTTGGGAACCCATATACTGTCCTTTCATCCTGGGATGCATGTCCTCACCTCTGACTTCTAAGTTAACTCCCGCTTTTATCCTTCAAATTTTAGCCCCGAAATCACTTCCTTAGTGAATCCTTCCCTTCCCTAACCTCCCTGACTAGGTCATATTCCTCTGATCTTTGCCCTGGGTACCTTCCTTCATTGGACTCACCAAATTGGATATTACACTTATGTATGATTGTATGATGAATGTGTTTCCTCACTACACTGTAAACTCACCCGTACTGAGTACATGGTGAATGAGTGAATAAATGTGACTTGCTGGGGGCATTAAACTTTAAGAACAAATGTATAGTATTTCTCAAGTGAACAAATCACTTAGGTTAAAAATACATATTTAGTAACTTGGTAAAATTTATAGCTTCCTTCTACTTGTAACCAGTAACAAGAAGATATTTACTAGAATTAGTCAAACCAAAATCAAACTGAAGATATATCTTTCTTGCAGTTACTTCTATGATGTGTTGATGTTAATGATGGACTAAGGAGGCCAGTGTACGTGGGGTTTTTGGTTTAGATTTTTGACCTGTTATTGGATGCCTCCCCATTAAAGGGGGGAAATTGAATTTTTCTCTAGAACTCACTGAGCATTAGTTCTTCACAGGTTCTATTATATTTTAAGTGTTACTTTTTACAGACAGAGAGTTTACTTTCTTTTGTCAATTCCTGGTCAGATTTCTTAAATACCTGGTAAGGCAAGTTTCAGATTTGCTTAGGAGTCATTTTTGATACCTTTTCTTTATATCCTGCGGCAAACAATTACCAGTTCTAACCACTAACAGGCCTCGTCTATTTACTCCCCTAGTTTAGGTCTCCTCACCTCATAAGTGGCTTACCTACTTGTCATCCTTGGTTGGTGACACTTCCTATTCTAGTTAGTCCATCAATCACACCATTGTCCTACAATTTCATTTTGTCTCTACTAGTACTCGAAACTTTCCCATTTACTAATAGGAAAAAAGCTGTCTTGTTCTAGAATCGAAGTCTCAAAATTACTGTATTCTTTGCAGTTAGAGGGGGCCAAGAAAATGATTTCTAGGGAAATGAGCTACTTACCATCCAACTAGCATCTCACAGGAGGTCACCAGGATCCAGGGTTAGGCCCTCCTTTTGGCAGGTCCAGAACTATTTGTCAGTGTATCCAGAGTTGAATAGATCACAGCAATTGCATTTTCTCTATTCAAACACAGTAAAAGACATGCTATACCAGTCTGCCAGTTTGTTGATCTTTAATGGGAAGAATATCTGCATGGGTACTCATGCTGGTTTGCCACCTCATTCTTTACCATAAAAAGTTATATAACAAACTGTATTTTTTTATCAGACGATTGGCAAGTATGAGAGCAAAGCAGGGAGTTGGATGATTGCTCTCTATGTATGGTCTAGACATTCTGATTCCCATTCCTCCTCATCCCCATGCCAAAGACCTGATATATCACATCCTACTCTGCCCTTCAGATTAGGGTAGGTGTTCCCTTTTATATATTCTCAGCACTCTGTATGTCATCACGTCTTTTATTATACTGGTAATTGTTTTTTTGAAGGCTATAGTTTAATGCCTGTCCCACTTGTCAATCTGGAAGTTCCATGAGGGATCCTATCTTGCTCAGTCTATGTCCCAGGCCCTCCGTAAATTAATTGTCGAGTGAATGAATGATCCTGCTTGACTGACTTAGTCTGTCCTCTTCCTGCACATTCCCCCCTTTTAAAAAATTCCCTAACAACAACAACAACAACAACAACAACAAATTCCCTAACATATTGACAACATTGTTTGTCTGACAACTTTGTTCATAGAATTATAATACATTAATTAGGTTACAGTTAACTTTCATGTCATTCATATTGTCCTGGTAACTTTATTTGGTTTTGTGTTTTCCCAGATAGCAACGGAACATGTTTACAGACCATCCTTTACAGTTTAGGCTAGTTATACAGTTAGTATAGTTATTCCCAAGTGTCCTCTGTTCAGTGATTGATTTGGTTTGACTAGTTTCCCTTTCAGAGTCTTTATAAACTACTTTTTTTTTCAGCTGCTAATTTTTACAGAATCTGATTTCAACCCCCCTCCCACTCCTGCTTTTCATTTGAATGGAAAGTCCCATTTATTGCATGCCTGTGGAATGCCAGGCACTGTATCGTGTGTTTTATCTAGTGTGTCTCATTTATATGAAGCGGATGATGTTCCTATCTATATACTAGTATATCAAAGCCTAAGTGACCGTCCAACCGTTTGACCGTCTGACTGTAGCTATGATGCGCACTGACCACCAAGGGGCAGATGCTCAATGCAGGAGATGCAATGGCTTGGCAGCTGTGGTTCTCAGGTGATACACTCGGAACCAGAGAGGAGGGAGCCCGATTCCGGGGTTTGTTACCTGAGAACTGCCCTCTCGCAACCCGGGACGCCTTGGGGGATGTCAGAGAGCCAGTTTTGGCCCGGTTCCCACAGGCCAGGACGAGGGACCCCACCGGTGCACGAATCTGTGCACTGAGCCTCTAGTTTATATATAAGGAAACTGAAGTGTAAAGAGGTTATTTCCACGCTTCATGTCACACAGCTACTAAAGTGGCAAAACCAGGTCCAGCGGATATTCCAATTTAAAGTCAGGATTTACTCTACAAAATGATAAATTTTTGCTTTAGAATTTTAATAAGTATACTTTTATGTTAGTGTGTGGTTTGTATATATAGCTCAGCATATTTAAAAGTAGCTGTGAGCATGATTAAAATGTATAGATAACACCTACATTGTTTTCCAAATATATGTTTTATTTGATGCTGATTTATTTATTTATTTTTCTTTAAGCTGCTAGTCTATGGGGTCCTTATAAAGACATTTGGCAAACGGTGGGAAATGTCCTTTGGAGAAGACAACCTGAAGCTGTCCACCTTCTTGACATGATTTTGAAGAAACATAAACCTGACTTCATCTCCTTGTTCAGAAACCCAGTAGGAAATTTTCTTTTTTGCTTCTTGTATTTGTATTTGCTTTTTTTTTTTTTTTTTTTTAAGATTGAAGGTGCATGTAAACTCTTAATGCATATAAATGAATATGTTACTTGTTCTGGTCCATTGATTCAAGTTTTCTCTAAAAATGTAATTTTTTCTAGAAGCAGTTGTCTTCTTTTTGTTTTCTATAAAGTTAATATTGATGTATCTCTAGCTAGGAGATATTTTAAAAATATTTGAATACAACTTAGTTCAGTATATTCTAGAAAAATCAGCCTCCTTGGAATTTCTGACTTAAAGTTAATACATCTAAGTTCAGTAAGATTGATTATTTTTTTTGTTTCCAGGTACACTTCAAAATTTTAACTCTTTTTTTTTTTTTTAATATATTCTTTATTGATTTTTTACAGAGAGGAAGGGAGAGAGATAGAGAGTTAGAAACATCGATGAGAGAGAAACATCGATCAGCTGCCTCCTGCACATCTCCTACTGGGGATATGCCCGCAACCCAGGTGCATGCCCTTGACCGGAATTGAACCTGGGACCTTTCAGTCCGCAGGCCGACGCTCTATCCACTGAGCCAAACCGGTTTCGGCCAAAATTTTAACTCTTCATAATGTTCTATGAGTTGTGTTAGCTGAACTAATCAGTGCTTGCATATCATTAGTTACTGCATCTTGAAATCCTTTTCATCCAGGAATAGAGTACGTAAGTGGAGGGGATTATGTTTGGAAACTCCTTTTCTTGCTGTTTAGCACTTTTCTTTTATAGACTAACAAGATCAAATAAGAACTGTTTATGAATTTGTCTTACCAGGAATGGCCTTTTACTTTTTAGCTTTGTTTTTTTTAGATATTCTTATTGGAAAGAGTCCTAGCCTGGGAGCCAGTTGAGTTGAGTTCCAGTCTTGGCTCTGCTACTAAAGGTTTATGCCCAAGGGCAAGTCATCTGACTTCTCTGGGCATCAGTTTTCCCATCTGTTAATAGAGAAGTCAGATTAAATGGCCTTTTTTGGTAAAGTGTAAATTTCTAAGATTGTACGATCCATCAAGTAATTCGTTATGTCATTCATTAAATATTTGAACTAAGTTGTAAGACTTTTGGGGGGATAAGACTATGTTTTTAATACTATATTAATAACCTACTATTAGCCCACTAACTAATTCAACAATTTATATGTCCATTTGTTATTTCCCACTTGATGAACTTAATGTTTTTATTTATTAAGTATATAATTGGAAAAGTTCCTTAGAAACTTGAAAAATAGTCTGCTATTTTGTGTGCTTTCTTAAACTTTTATAGTTCAGAGTTCAGCAGGAGCCATTATTGAGAAGGTAGTAATAGTATAAAAAGGTGAAGGTGATATGAAATGTTACCTCATAAAAGTCTAATTGTAGATTATCTGTTAAGAAATACTTCTTATGTCATGTTACAGGCTGCCTTATGAATAAATTTCTTTAGGTAACACTTTAAGACCTTGTCTTCAATGTACTCTTCTTATTACATGACCTTACTTATTTTTACCATTGTAGCCAAAAAATGTTCAACAACATGAGAAGGTTCAGAAAGCCAGCACAGAGGGAGTCGCCATCCAGGGTCAACAGGGAACCCGACTTCTTCCTGAGCAGCTCATTAAAGAGGCCTTTATCCTCAGTGACCTTTTTGACATTGGAGAACTGGCAGCAGTTGAGCTTCTCCTTGCTGGTAGGTTGACGTTTAACTGAACCGTGGTAAGGTGGTAAGAATATTATAAAATTATTCACTCGAACTTTAAAGTAGAATATAATTCAGATTCCAGAATAGTTTTTAAGGATGCCATTTACATGAAAAACTATATTCAAATAATTTCCTTTTGTTTCTCTTTGGCTAATGGAAAGCTTTAGTTTAGCCACTGGAAGGGTTAAAGGTAATTTAACTTTTAAGATAAGCTTTTACATGGTAGTTCACTGGCAAAGAATCATTGGCTACATCTCAGAAATTTTATAGCACAAAGCATTTATTGTCATATAATAAGTAAGAAGATAAGGCCACTGCTTTTTTGGAGTTTCTTTTTGAGGGGGTGATTCTGCTAATAGGACAAAATAAGATAATTTCAATAACACTGAGTTCTCGGAAGAAAATAAAACAAAGCAGTAGGAGGTAGAAGGCCTCTGTGAGATTGGGACATTTGACTTGACCTGCATGATGACAAATGCCAGAGTTGTGGGGGAAGGTGTTCTAGGCAGAGCCACTGCAAGTGCTTGAGGTGAGAACAAAGGCTTGCGAAAGGACAAAAAGACCTCTGTGGTGGGAACATTAGGTGATGGGGAGAGTGAAGGAAGACTAGGATAGAGCAAAAATGTAATCTTGCAAGCCATGAAAATTAATTTGGATTTTATTCTAATTGCAATGGGAAGTTGTAGGCAGGAGCTTTAAGCAGAAAATTTTCATGATCTGGAATAGCCTTGAAATTATTTCTCTGGCTGCTGTAGAGAGAAAAGATGGAAATCTCCATAAAATAAGCAGTTCATTTAAATCAGTGGTTCTCAACCTTCCTAATGCCGTGACCCTTTAATACAGTTCCTCATGTGGTGACCCCCAACCATAAAATTATTTTTGTTGCTACTTCATAACTGTAATTTTGCCACTGTTATGAATCGTAATGTAAATATCTGATATGCAGGATGTATTTTCATTGTTACAAATTGAACATAATTAAAGCATAGTGATTAATCACAAAAACAATATGTAATTATATATGTGTTTTCCGATGGTCTTAGGTGGCCCCTGTGAAAGCGTCGTTCGACCCCCAGGTTGAGAACCATTGATTTAAGTAATAACAGAGGAGCCATGTGAAGAAGCCATGTAGGCATTTTAATTAAAAGAAAGTTTAATATGTCTAAAGATATCATGTGGCTGCCAAAATACCTTTTTGACCTTTTGAACTAAGGCTGCATTAAAAGAAGTATGATATTGAGAATAGGTAAGGTAGTTTTCCCATTCTGTGATGGAGATGTTAACTGGACATGCTTGAGCTTTACTCAGAACTTTTACTTAACAAACATTTATTTTATGCATACCGTATGCCAGGCACTATGTTAAGATTCCAGGGATATAAAGATGAAGAAAACCTCAACCAGTGTAAAAGAGCCCATAACCTAGTAATTGAGAAAGACATGGATACAAATATGGATACAGATATTTATGACACTACTAAGTGCATTAATGCAGGTTTGTGCATGATTTAGTGATGGTCTGGAGGGCAGAGGATTAAATTGACCTTGGATTGAACAGAGAAGTCTTCACAAATATCATGAGGCTTAAGGTAGGTGTTAAAGCGAGAAGACATATATCAAATGGAATAGGTGTGCACTTAGGAGGACCAAGGGCATCCAGACAGAAACAGTCGCCTTTACAGGTATGAAGCAGTGAGATGAATTTGGGGAACATAAGGGAATGGAGTGGAGGAGTGATTGGGCTAAGGGAAGAAAAAAGCCATAGGAAATGAAACAAATTATAGGCAGGGTGCTTCAAAAAAGGCAAAGTAGAATTTACTCAAAGGTGAGCTGTTAAAAGGGTGAGTAAAGAAGATGAAACACAAGAAAAGGCTGTTTAAGTTTCAGAAAAGGCTCTAGGGGAAGAAACTTCCAAATATTTGAAAGATTTGAGGTGAAAGAGAATAACACAGTGGATAGATGTTTGAAGTAGAGGGCCTTAAGGCCCCTTAAGCCCTGAGAATCTGTGACTTCTTTGAACATTGGTGTAGTGGTTTTTGTCTCATCCTGAATACAGGTGCTTATTTACTAAATTATTTCTCAACTTTCTTTTCTAGGAGAGCACCAGCAGCCACATTTTCCTGGCCTCACCAGAGGATTAGTAGCTGTTCTTCTATATTGGGATGGAAAGCGGTGCATTGCGAACTCTCTGAAAGCCTTGATACAGTCTAGACGAGGAAAGACGTGGACCCTCGAACTCAGGTCTGTTTGCTTCTTAGGATTTCAGGGGTTAATCAGAAATTACTTAAAGAATTATAATTATAGAAACAATAACAATTTCTCCTTCATATATGTAATTTAAGTAATGTGTGTAACATAAGTTATAAATACTCCCTTATTCTGCCACGAGTGACACAACAGGTTAAATGTACTTGATGTTTTTTACAAATAAAAAATAATTCAGTTATTTATGGTTAGAAGTTTATTGAAACCCAGTGATCTAAAAAGGATGAAGAGATCTAGGATATAATTCATACTGGTTGTTTCCAGTAATGCAGCAATTATTGTCAAAAAAGTGTTTGCCGGATCCATCTGATGAGGAAGTATAACCATTACTATTCATTATAACTTCGTTTATTGATTTCTTTTCATTACAGTCCAGAACTGGTTTCCATGATAACACGCTTTACAGATGAACTAATGGAGCAAGGGTTGACTTACAAAGTTCTTACTCTGGTATCACAGATTGATGTGAACAATGAGTTTGAGAAACTACAGCGTGAGAGAGGTTTGGGCAGTGAAAAGCATCGCAAAGAGGCAAGTTTTCAACAAGATCAGATCATGGGTTGTCAAATCTCAGAGGCAGAAAAATCATGACAATTAGAACATTCTTTTAGTGCAGGCATAGGAAAATTAGTAATATGTATTTAAGTGTGTAGGCAGCTGTGTCTGCAAAAATAGACTTGTGGTGGTTTTAGGTTCTTTCTAGTCCAGCGGTTCTCAACCTGTGAGTCGCGACCCCTTTGGGGGTCGAACGACCCTTTCACAGGGGCTGCCTAAGACCATCGGAAAACATATATAATTACATATTGTTTTTGTGATTAATCACTATGCTTTAATTATGTTCAATTTGTAACAATGAAAATACATCCTGCATATCAGATATTTACGTTAGGATTCATAACAGTGGCAACATTACAGTTATGAAGTAGCAACGAAAATAATTCTATGGTTGGGAGTCACCACAACATGAGGAATTGTATTAAAGGGTCGCGGCATTAGGAAGGTTGAGAACCACTGTTCCAGCCCCTTATGTGCCATTCTAGTTTTCTTTCTGGAATGAACTTTTCAAGAAATTGGTTATCCCACACAGGAGGTTGGAACTTAAGAATGAGGAATTAACAATATGGTTTGTTCAGAATTCCAGAGATGAGATTGTAGGAGTCAGATACATTTATTTAGTTATCCTTTATAAAAAAAGATAGTTAAGATTTTGGAATAAGACCAGGCTTCACTGTGATTTATTTATATACTTTTATTTGACACTTGTTTACTATATACATATTTAATCATACATTCTTATTCCTAGGTTTCTGACCTCATCAAGGAGTGCAGGCAGTCTCTGGCAGAAAGCATTTTCTCCTGGGCTTGCCAGTCACCATTAGGCAAAGATGACACTCTGCTCCTTATTGGACATTTGGAAAGAGTGACAGTTGAGGCTAATGGCTTGTTGGATGCGGTGAATCTGGCTCTTCTCATGGCACTTCTGTACTGCTTTGATATCAGTTTTATAGAACAAAGCACAGAGGAGCGCGATGGTATTGGGTTTTATACCTATTAATACACTATTTTATACTTATTAATAAAATTGTGGAGATAACATTTAAGAAGGGTGATATTTTAGCTACTAAAGTTAAAAATTGTACTTTTTATTCCTTTGTGTGCAATTCAGCCATATTTGTTTAGATATAAGATTATATTTAAAAAATAATTATAATCCTACTAGATGTTTCTGTTGTTCTTTTGGATTTTGGAATGGGAATGTGTTAGAGCAGGGGTCCTCAAACTACGGCCCGCTGCCACATGCAAATACAAATATTGTATTTGTTCCCGTTTTGTTTTTTTACTTCAAAATAAGATATGTGCAGTGTGCATAGGAATTTGTTCATAGTTTTTTTTTTTAACTATAGTCCGGCCCTCCAATGGTCTGAGGGACAGTGAACTGGTCCCCTGTTTAAAAAGTTTGAGGACCCCTGTGTTAGAGGTTATGTAACACATGTTCACGAGTTACACATACCTGATTTACTTAATTGTTTCTTTACTATTTATTCATATTTCAAACCTTTTATGAAAACATTCTAAGGGAGGATAACTCATTTTTAGTAATATATCATCTTTGACTTACATTTTCTCTGAAGTAGATAAAATTTTACTTGGTAATACATAACCAGTTACTCCTTAGAACTGAGGACTCAAAAATGATTCCCGCAAAGGAAGATTATTGCCATTTAATGTCATAGATATTTATAATTATTCCAACAATTATCCCTGTTCACTTTTGATGGTATCATCCACATCTCCTCTTATTAGGTATGTGAGGAGAATGGACATTTCCCACTCATCTTTGGTGGCTATCCTTAGCCACTAGGAAAGGCTTATTTAAAACACAGTAGCCCCTTTCCTCCAATCAAGTTGTCACACAGACTGTGTGTGTCATAGAATAAGCAGCACCTGTACTCTTATAGGAATGCTGCCAACTATCGCATTAGTCAGATTTCCTGTAGTGAATGCAGTGAAGCACAGAATTAAGTAGGAGTAGGCTGTCTTAATGGAAGTTTGTAAGTTGGGAGTTTTCAAAGCTTAATGAAATGCCTGGGAAGTTTCATAAGCTAATAATCAAAGGTTTTGGCATTAGGCTGTAATTGTATCAATTTCAGGTGTTTAGGTTGATTAACTCATAATTTCTGTTCTGTATATCTTTGATTAATAAATGGGAGAAGTGAATTATTAGTGCATGTACAATAGTAGACAGAAACTTTGAAAGTATAGGAAATTAAAGACTGTGTTTTTAATGGTTGGCAATCACTGAACTAATTATTCACAAGATGACATCAAAAGAACTTGTAAGAGCTCAGGCTGATGTGGCTCAGTCGGTTGGAGTGTCGTCCAATACACCAAAAGATGGCAGGTTTGATTCTCAGCCAGGGCACATACCCAGGTTGTGGGTTCAAACCCTGGTCAGGGTGTATGTGAGAGGCAACCATTGATGTTTCTCACATTGATATTTCTCTCTCAGCCCCCTTCCTTTTGATAAAATTAAAATAAATTTTAAAAAATGAATATAAGAAAATAATGAAGTAAAATAAATGAATTCTTGGGTAGTCAGTGGTGTCCCATTATTTATTTATTATTAATTTTATTCAGAATTCTGTGCTTGTTTGAGGTACCATAGCACAACTGAACTTAAATTGAAAATTCTTTAATTATCATTTGGCTATTTCATTTATGTTACAATCAGAGTAGCTACTTGTTTGCAATTTGCGTTCTTTGTTTTGGTCAGCTTTTATTTAATATTTTAAAATCAGGCTTATTTATCTAGTAAGAGTCTGTTTTGATATTTAAGTAGCATTGATTTATATTTTAGAATTTATGAACAGAAAACATGAGTAGCTCTTTATTTTTCGAATTTATTTATAGTACACATAAAAACCACTGGAAATAATAGAATTAAAATTTAGGATTATTGTTGATTTCTTTTGTTTTTAGTTTGTGTATGATTTTTGGTTTGTCAAACCTTAGTGTTAATCATAATTTGATGAGAATTCTGTGATTTTTAGACATTTCTGTATATCAGAGTGAAAATTTTTCTACTTTTTCACATAGTGGTCTATTGTGTTTTCAGATATGATTCAGCAACTTCCACTTTTGACTGAGAGACAGTACATTGCATCGGTTCACTCTCGCCTTCAAGACTCGCAGCCTTGGAAACTGCCTGGGCTGCAAGCCACTGTTCGACTTGCCTGGGCACTGGCATTGAGGGGAATATCTCAGTTACCTGATGTGACAGGTAAATTGATTGTAGGTAATTTTGTTATGAGAAGGAACATAACAATTTTAATGGTATTTTGGAAAGGGTGTTATTTTTGCCATATATAAGCAGGAGCATAGAAAAATATCCAGAGTTGTATTAAATGAAACTTAGTTAAGGTGGTAAAATACAGACTTTTTTTCCCCTTTGTCTCCCAAAAGAAATGATATGAAATACTATTTCCCTTATATATACTAGTAGTATATTAGAAAAGAGATCTTTGGATCAATCAAGAATGCATGTGGCTCTGGCCAGTGTGGCTCAGTTGGTTGAGCTTCCTACCGTGTGCCAAAAGGTCGCTGGTTTATTTCTGATTCCTAGTCAGGGTACATGCTCAGGTTTCGGGTCCTGTCCTGACTGGGAGGCAACTGATCACTGTTTCTCTCTCTCTTCCTCAAACCAATAAAAACATTAAAATAAAAAGAATGGATGTGGGATTCTGACTTAACAGTTTGTTACTCACTGTAGCATATCCTGTTGTGTTGTTTACATTCATGTAATTACCATACTCAAGTAGTGGTGTACTCTAACTGGATGAGAACTATACTTTCATTGTAATTTGAAGTCCAAGAGTTGTCATTTGTTTTTATGGTAAATCTGGAAAGATTTTTATTAAAATTTATAATTCATGTCAGTGTTTTCTAGTTTTAGAGTGTCAACAGATTCCAGTGTCTTATCATTTGTATGATTCCAGAACTTTTTTTTTTACATTTAGTATTTTTATTGAGATTGTGTTGAAAGGCATTCGTACATCCAAGGCACTATTAGTAATAAAATGATTCCAGACCATTTTGTTCACAGTTGACATGCTATTCCCAAGGGGGCTGCACAAAGCATTTTTTGTATTAAGAGTCTGTCTTTGGCCAAGTGGTTTTTTTCTTGTTTTTTAAAAAAATATATTTTTGTTGATTTCAGAGAGGGAGAGAGAGATAGAAACATCAATGATGAGAGAATCATTGATCAGCTGCCTCCTGCACGCCCCTACTGGGGATTGAGCCCGTAACCCAGGCATGTGCCCTTGACCGGAATCAAACCCGGACCCTTCAGTGTTTAGGTCGATGCTCTATATTCACTGAGCCAAACCAGCTAGGGACGAATGTTTTTTATATTAAAGCTGATAGGTGGCTAATTAGACATTTATATGTATGTACAAATTCTGTTTCTGGAGTATAGCCCTTTATTGATTTACAATTCTTATTTCAGTACTTTTCTGGCATAAAATTACCCTTTAATCTTTTAAGTGGCTATGTGATGGTTAATCAGATTCTTCTGCTATAATTTTACTGTACTATTCCCTGATCTGGAGAGGTACCATACAATATGCTATAGTTGGCTATAGAATAGTAGATAAAAATAGGCGGGGAATCCAGACCCCCATTTCAAGTCCTAGATCTTTGGCTACTTAATCTCTTTAACTTTACATGCACATACCCTTTTATAAGCTTTGATAATTAGGGATATTAACATTTTTAAACTATAAAAATATTTTTGTAAGTTTGAATTTTAAAAATTGCTAGAAAATACATTGTTTATCTTATATTGCAGAAATGGTTATTTCTTGAAATTATACAGACAAGTTTTAACAAAAATCTCAATTTTGAAAAATTAGTTTCTACTCTCTTCATAGACTTCTGAAAAATCTTATCAAACATATTTATTATATTATTTTATAAAGGTATGTTTGGAATTTTACCAAACTATACAAAATTTGTATGTATTGATTTTAACATTAAAACTCAGTTTACATTAAGCTATTAATGCCACTTATTACCTGAATAGTCTCCCATAAATAGTTCTTGAATTGATCATCATACAGTTTTAATTCCAACATTTATGAGTTCACGTGAAGTTTTGAAGTTATTGTTATTATTATTAATATCTACTTAATAATTTCAGTAATCATTAATCCTAAGAATTAGGAAACTATTTTGTTCCCAAGGAGTTTGCATGGAATAGGTAGATATGTACGCTTTATTTCAAAATGCAAAACAAAAGCCCTTGGTTTGAGATTGTCCTGCTTTATATCTATTCCTGACCCTTTTCAAAGAAGTGGAAATACTTTCAGTAGCACACTATGTATTTGGTCTCTAAGAGAGCCAACCAGAATAAGCTATGTAGCTCTTCTTTTCTAAAGCCAGATTACAGCAAAGTTAACTAGCAGTTTTATGTGTAAAATTTAAAAGAAGTAATCAGCAATGTATTTTTTGATGGAAGGACACAACTTTACCTAAGATATACTATTACCAAAAAAATTGAGTGTCAGTCAGATCAAGTCTCTCTAGATAAAACTGCTAATTTTTAGTATAATCAGAGGACAGCAAATGTTAACTGCACCATTGGATGGGGTGCATGCCACACCACATGCCACATGGAAAACTCTACAGGATCAAAGTTCCAGTTTTTCAGCAAAGAGAGGACAAGGGAAAAATTTAAAAGATGTAGGAGGAGCCTACAGATATATCATTTAATGGCATTGTATAGTTTTTATTTGAATCTAGCTTCAAGCAAACTGCACAAATTATAAAAGCAAAATGGAAAACAATCTTTCATAACATTTATGAGAAATTGTAAATTTGACTACTGTCTGGGTATTTGATATTGAGGAATTATTTTTTAAGATATGATAATGGTATTATGTGTATGTGGTTTATTTTCTTTTTGAAATACATATGAGTGAAATGTTAAATTGTCTGAAATTTGCTTGTATCTAATTTTGGTAGAGAGGGGGAATGCTTGGAGATCTAGATGAAATGAGATTGACCATAATGGATAATATTGAAGCTAGGTGCTGGGTATGTGGAAGTTTGGTCTTTTTTTTTTTTTAGATAATCTGTTTGAAATTTCCAAATAGAAAGCTAACAAAAAGTCTTTAGGTTAAGATTTGTTTTTCAATTTTTGCTACTTGATTACCAATTAGTGGGGCTACTTAAGTGGTCATTCAGGTTTTGGTCTGACTTGTGGGCTGTGAAGACTTTTTCTGAATGATCCAGATAATTTTATTGAGATTAAAACCTTAGCATCATTTTCAGATGTTGATGCTTTATTAATAGCTCCCTGACTACATCAGTGTTACATCGTATATTTCTGATGTAATTTTTTATCACTGATAATGTTACTATGAAAGCATGTGGTTTTCTCTGTATTTTTTCAGTACTTCTTTGGGGTTTGTGAATTAGAGTTACAGAGTCTTTATTTTGTGCATGGCGCATGCTAGGAGGTTGAGCAATTTTGGAACATCAACAATATTATGAGATATTATAATCTAGTTTAAATAACTTTTATTTTGTGTGCTGTTTGTGTAAATACATTTTTAGCTGTGGCTGAATTCACAGAAGCAGATGAAGCAATGGCAGAGCTCGCAATTGCTGACAATGTTTTCCTGTTCCTCACTGAATCCGTAGTGGTGTCAGAAAACTTCTATCAGGATGAATTTTATATTCGTAGAATCCACAATCTCATCACAGATTTCCTTGCACTTATGCCAATGAAGGTAGGTGGAATTAATTTAGGATGACTAAAAAGTAGTAGAAGAATTTTATAAAATAATTTAAAACTTATTAATGAACTAATCTTACGTTTTAGACCAGTGATGGCGAACCTATGACATGCGTGTCAGAGGTGACACGCGGACTCATTTTTTTGGTTAATTTTTCTTTGTAAAATGGCACTTAAATATATAAAATAAATATCAAAAATATAAGTCTTTGTTTTACTATGGTTGCAAATATCAAAACATTTCTGTATGTGACACGGCACCAGAGTTAAGTTAGGGTTTTTCAAAATGCTGACACGGCGAGCTCAAAAGGTTCGCCATCACTGTTTTAGACACTAATAAAACTTTTAATATAGATTAAAATTTGTAGTAGTTGTGTTACAGCTTGTGAATTAGTTTGTGATTCATGACAGTGAAATAATAAAACCTGTTAACTGAGAATAAGCTAAAAAATATTTCACATTGAGAATGGTTTATAATGAGAAAGTAATAGTTAAATGAAAATGCTTGTATGGGTAGAAAATTATTAATACCTTGCTACCCTAGGGATTGATGCTAAGTTGTCTTATGTATATTTTTATGCATGATTTGGAAGGCATAGAGGAAAATCTCATTTCATAGATAATTATTTAGACTCTTTTTTAAAAATATGTATTTTTATTGATTTCAGAGAGGAAGGGAGAAGGAGAGAGAGATAGAAACATAAATGTTGAGAGAGAATTATTGATCGGCGGCCTCCTGCATGCCACCTACTTGGGATTGAGCCTGAAACCCTGGCATGTGCCCTTAACTAGAATTGAACCTGGGACCCTTCAGTCCATAGGTCAACGCTCTATCCACTGAGCCAAACCAGCAAGGGCTAGATTCTCAATTATCCTATATAATAAAGAGCTAATATGCTAATTAGACCGAACAGCAGGGCAAAGTCTAGAGAAACTTCTGGAAGACCGTCTGGATAACCTTCTGGATGAGGCGGGGCTGCGAGGGCTGAGCCCCTTGCATGAATTTCATGCATTGGGCCTCTAGTAGTATATAAATGAGCTTTTGCATGGATACAGGTAACTTAATGGATTAAAGAAATCAATACAAAAGCTATTTTTGAATAAAGGGCTTGATCCAAAAAAAGATTTTTAGAGCAATCTTAGACAGGTCCTTCATAGCATATGCTCCGTGTGCCGTTTTGTTCCAAGAAAGCCATTAAGGAGGTGGCAGGCAATAAAAGGGAGTAAAGTTCTATAAAATCACTTTTTGTGTTTGTCTATTTAAAAAAAGCACTCTTAAAGAATCTACACTTGTAATGACATGTGTGTTCTGATATCATACCTTTTGAAAAACATAAGGCAAATTAAAAAAGTATCCATAAGGCAAGCAGTGCTTAATTATTTAGTGAATCATGTTTGTTGAGTTTCTCATGTTGCCAGGTACTATGCTAGGCGTTGTGAAGAAGTCAAATAAGTAGGGGATTCATTTGTCTGCCAGCAAAGAATTATAACCTAGTTGGAGAGATAAGATACATATACACAGAAAAACACAAGTACTAATAGTAAGTAAATGAGAGGTATAGGCACTAAATTACTATGGATTTATTTAAGCTAAGTATAGTTCATTTCAGACTAGAATAGTCAAGGAATACTTAACAGGTAGCTTGACACTTCATCAACCTTGAAGGACTTGGTAGAATCACAGAATTTGGAATAGAAAGAAGCCTGCTAATCCTTTTAGTTTACATTTGCAGAAATGAAACCTTAGAAAGGTTAAGGCTTAAATTTTTCCCTAATTAGTAGCACAGCTGGGACTTTGGTTATGGAATAATAATGGTATCTGGAAATGAAGGATGAGAGAGTAATTTGATTAAACAGAATCACAAATGGCTTGGGTAGGATAAATAATGAATTTATTCACAATTCTGGGATACTATAATTTTAAAAAATAGACATAGGACTATTTAGGTTGTCTATTCTTAAATGAGCTTTGGTGGTTTGTGTCTGTCAGTGAATTTGTCCATTCAAATTGCTTGGTATAAAGTTTTCCCTAATATTCTTGTATTACGTTTTTCATGTGTATAGGATCTATAGTGATATTTTCTCTTTGAATCTTAATATTACTAATTGTGTCTTCTCCCTTTGTTTCTTATTTAACCTAGCTAGAGGTTTATCTATTTTATTGATTTGGCTTCATTGATATTTTTATACTTTATTTCACTGCTTTTAATTTTGCACTTTATTATATTATTCCTTTTGCTTTGGGTTTAATATAACCTCATTTTTTTAAGGTAGAAGCTAAGATTATTGATTTGAAACCTTTTTTTCTAATATAAGCATTTAATGTTATATATTTATCTCAAGTTACTGCTTTAGCTGTGTCACAAATTTTGATATGTTGTATTTTCTTTTTTGTTCTATTTAATATATTTTCTATTTTTCCTTGAGACGTCTTTGATCAGTGGGTTGATAGTGCTGTACAAGTCTTTCATATCCATACTGATTGTACGTGTACTTGTTCTATTGAATATTGAGAGAGGATTGTTGGAATCTCCAGTTATAATTTTGGATATATCTAACTATATTTTTTTTAAGGAAGAAAAAGTTTCTTAATTTCAGTTGGCATTTAGTACACACAAATGTTGTAAGGGAATAATTCTCAACCGGGGCTGTACTGTCCTTCAGAGTTGGTTTGGGAAATGAGTGGGACCAGTTTTGCTTGTTACATTAACTATCGCAGTGTTTTTGGTAGTTAGTAGATAGTCCAGTAAACCGTCCTTCATTGTTCAGGATAATCCAAACCAGTGAAGAAATGTCCTGCCCAAAATGTCAGTAATGTCTCCATTGAGAAACACTGTAGATAGACTCAACTTTTCTGTAGTGGAAAATACACTGAAATTTTAAGATGCTATAAATTGTGGATTTATTTACAATAAAATGTTTTCCATATTTCTTCATGTCATTAAAGTGGGATTGATATTTAAACCGTTTTTCTTTTATGTAATCACTTTCAAATGCCTGATTTCTTGCTTTCAGTATTGTTCACTTGTATAATAAATTTACTTCTTAAACCATATGTAATACATTTGTTAGGTGAAGCAGTTGAGGAATCGGGCAGATGAAGACGCTCGAATGATTCATATGAGTATGCAGATGGGTAATGAACCCCCCATTTCACTTAGAAGGGATCTGGAACATTTAATGCTCTTGGTAAGCCATTTTATTGGGTGGATTGTCATCTCCCTTCTTCCATTATTTTTTCTTTAACTTTGGAAAATTTTTGATCGAATTTCTTAAGTAAATTCATTAAAAATGTAAATTTTTATTTAAAAGTAATTTTTGAGTTATAGACATTTTTCCATAGTCATGTTTACTCTTTGCAGATTGGTGAGCTATATAGAAAGAACCCTTTTAATTTGGAGCTTGCTTTGGAATATTGGTGTCCCTCAGAGCCTCTGCAGACTACCACCATCCTAGGTTCTTACCTTGGGGTGGCTCATCAGCGACCCCCTCAACGCCAGGTGAGCTCTTCCTTTTTCTACTCTGGGATGGTAATTGGGAGTCCTGAAAACATGAAAAATGTTTTTGCCTGATGTTATTGCTGTTAACACAAATGGCCACCAATGTATAATCTTTAGAAATTTACACTTTTTCCTTTTAAAGGAAATTTGAAACTCTTAAATTTAAGTTCTCATTATTTTGAAGTTTATGTAGTCAGGCTTTTAGAACATACTAGGTAGGTGTTAAATCCTTAGAGATGGGAAAGGTATCTAGTCTCTATGTGTAACTTCCTTGAATTTTATTAGTATTAGTCTGTCCTCCATACGCATGACACTAATCAATACACATTCTTAACAAGTTGGGGAAGATAGGAGCAGTACAAGTACTAAAGGAAGAAGCTTAGAAGTTACAATTGATGACAAAGTGCATATGAGTCAGTGATAGTGTAGGAAAAGTTCATTTTTTACCCTACATTAACTAAAGTATGACATGCTGTAGCAAATGAGACAGATTGCCACATCTGTCTTTGGGATTTCCTGTTCTAGCAGCTTTCATGTGTTTAATTTTCATTTATGGTAGAGTCTAACATCAGATACCACTTCTTTTTACTGATTTCTTACACTTATTGTTTCATATTTCTCCCCTTTAAAAATGTTTTAGAGAAGGATTTATTAAAATTCTTAGATATTAAAAAAAACTTTATTGTGAAAATTCTTGAACATGGAAGAGAGATTAATTATAATGAACACCCAGCATCTTAATTTAATAGCTACTAACATCTTGTCATGTTTGGTTTATTTATTAGTGTTATTTTTTTCCTATTTTTATTTCGCTGGATTATTTTAAAGTAAAGTATAGGCAGCATGACATTTCACTTCTCATTGGTTAAGTTAATAGCTCTTAAAAATCAGCCTGTTTTTTGTACGTACTTACAAAACCATTGTTACACCTAACAGATTTAACAGTAATATCCAGAGATCTCTACATTTTCAGTTCTGAGTTCCAACTAATGATTCTGAATAATATTTTTAGCTGTTGATAATAGATTTAAAGAATAAGGAAAAGTTAGTAAGTGAACTTGCACGAGTGTAGGTATTGGCTGGAACACAAAACAAAATATGTTTATGCTACCATAAAATATTTTTTCAGGTTGCAGGTCTTTATACTAAATTTGATTGGAATTTAGTAACTCTGATTTCTAGGTATATCTTTGAATTTGCTGGTTAATTTTAGATGGGTAAGTTTCTTCAGTTGCTTTGCATATTTAGAATGTGAATAATCTGATGTTCTGAGACATTGAGATATTTAAATTGCTAGTGACAAGCTTAAAAAAACAAATTTTCATAAGTAGAATACCAGATTATTTTGGCTTTGGGGGGTTAAATCAGAGCACTTAATTAGTTTTCGTTAATATATAGTCTTTATTAGGTAGTCCCTTTTGCCTTAAATTTAAGATATGCTTTATGTAAACTAATGGTTTCTACCTATTTCAGGTTGTCTTGTCAAAGTTTGTTAGGCAAATGGGTGACCTGTTGCCTCCAACTATTTATATTCCTTATCTGAAAATGCTCCAGGGATTGGCCAATGGGCCCCAGTGTGCCCACTACTGTTTTAGCCTGCTCAAAGTCAATGGTAGTAGTCATGGTAAGAAAAATCTAGATGTTGTTTAAATTTGTTCTAAAATTCTTGAGTTCAGTATTCCCCTTTCTATTAAAGAATATTGTTTATTTGTGATAGGTTCTACCAGGTGTATAAATTATTTTTATAATAATGGAAAGTAATACACAGTGGCTTTATGCACAGTGATGCCTTGATTATGTTCTCACAAGCTGGGGAATTTTACCATTTGCTTTATAAAATACAGTTCAGTTTAAGAAATAAAAATTAATATATAACAATTTTAAAGAACACATCTGGTGCTCAAAGCAAACTATATCCCCCTGCCACTTAATTTTGATGTCTTTAATGTGTGTGTGCCTTCTACATTTCTGTGCTTAATAGTTTTTCTTTCGACCCTCTCCCAATTTCCTCATTTAATTTTCAGACTTGAGTCTGGTTAAGCCAAAAACACTGCAAAAGGGAAGAGAAAGAAATATTTATTAAACATCTGCTTTATTAGGTAGATATTACTTTCGTTTTATATGTGAGGAAATTGAGGTTTAGAGAAGTAATTTACCCAAAGTCACAAGTAATTGGGGAGCCATGTTTGGAAGTGTGATCTGCCTGGCTTGCTTGTCTTATATGCTGTGCTTTTGCTTCCAGTGCTTGGTATTTAATGAGCAGTGTTATTACAAATCTAGACTGTTAGTTATCTCTTTCTCTGAGAATTTAAACTCAACATTGGGGAATTTTTGGTGGGAGAAGTAGCCCTGTATAGTTACATGACAACACAGAGGAGCTCTCCTAGATACGAAGTAGATAACTGACATCCAAAGTAATTAATCTTTGCATTTACATGGGCACCACCCATTCCTAGACCTGACAGATTAATCCAGAGTTCTAGCTCACAAGTGGATTTTACCCATTTAAAAAATATATTTTTATTGATTTCAGAGAGGAAGGAAGAGGGAAAGAGAGATAGAAACATCAATGATGAGAGAGAATCATTGATTGGCTGCTGCTTGCACGCCCCCTACTGGCGATTGAGCCCAAAACCTGGGCATGTGCCCTGAACGGGAATTGAACCTGTGACCTCCTGGTTCATAGTTTGATGCTCAACCAATGAGCCATGCCAGTTGGGCCTAACCCATTTTAAACACACTACTTATCTAGGACAAAGACCACGTTTATTATTTTAAATTTGTTTTCTTCCTCCATTTCCAAGCAAGTGCTTAGACATTTTTCAAAGAAAATTCTGTGTTGTCTTTCTTTACAGTTGAAAATATTCAGGGAACAGGGGGCAGTCCTGTTTCCTGGGAACATTTTTTTCACTCCTTAATGCTTTACCATGAACACCTCCGGAAGGATCTTCCTAGTGCAGACAGTGTCCACTACCGCCACCTGCCTTCGCGTGGCATCACCCAGAAGGAGCAGGATGGACTGATTGCTTTTTTACAGCTCACATCTACCATCATTACTTGGGTAAGTAACCCATCCACAGCATGAGAGTGTAATTTTATTGCTTTCTAGTACTGGGCATTTTAAGGAGCCCCCATATTTTTGTGTATTAAGCTTGTATATCACTAAATTTATTAGTGATCAATTTAGCACATATATAGAATTATGTTCTGTTGTTTTGTTTTATTTAGCTTTGTTTCTTATTTCATTTTATAACCCAGTCTTAATTTGGCTTCTTTCTATCCTTAGTTATAAGCATTCTGTTCAGCTGGTCTTCAGGCTCTCAAGGATGGTGGTTCTGTAATTTAGTTGTAATTTTGATGTGGTTGTTGGAGGAGGTGAGCTCTGTGTTTACCTACTGTGCCATCTTTATGGGAAGCCTCCTATAGAATTTTGTTCTTCAGTTCTTTAGAAGATATAGTTATGGTAGTCCTGCTTATTGCCTTAAGCTTATAAGAAAATAACAGCCTAAACCTGAAAGAAAATATTCATAAGGGCAAATAAAAGTCAATTGTTGGGTGCTCATCCTTCTAGAGAATTTCCCTGCATAGGTGTGGATGTGTGTGTACATAAAGAATGTTTTTAAAATTATGGAGTGTTGTCCCATAATTAATTTCTTGTTGACACTATTACAGATGTCTCCATTCCCCCCTTTGCCCCATAAAGAATATTTTTAGCCCAGCCGGTGGTGCACAGTGGTTGAGCGTCAACCAATGAACCAGTAGGTCACAGTTCGATTCCCGGTCACTGATCATGGCGCATGCCCCGGTTGCAGGCTCGATCCCCCGTAGGGGGCATGCAGGAGGCAGCCAACCAGTGATTCTCTGTCATCATTGATGTTTCTATTCCTCTCTCCCTCTCCCTTCTTCTCTGAAATAAAAATATATTTTAAAAATATTAAAAAAAGAATATTTTTAATTAAAAAGAAAAGTTATTTACGGAATTACTCCTCTTCTCCTTACATCAAGCCATCTTACCCGCCACTACCAAATTAGTCTTTGTAAAAATACATTATTTTCATTATATAATATTTCTGCTCAGTAGTCTCTTCTAGTGTTTCTATGATTCACCAGAGTAAAGAGAAGTTGCTCAGTCTGACATTCTGACTGAAGGATAGGAATAGTTTTTCTCCCCGCCCCCCAATAATGCATAATATTATTAGACATCAAACATAATGTTATCCCTGGCCAGGTGGCTCTGTTGATTGGAGTGTTGTCCCATACACCAAAAAGGTGGTGAGTTTGGTTCCTGGTCAGGACATATACCTAGGTTTCGGGTTCCATCCCTGGCCCAGGTTGGGGTGTGTGTGGGAGGCAACCTATCAATGTTCCTTTCTCATATCAGTGTTTTTCTCCCCTACCCCCCTTTCTTCATCTCTCTCTCTCCCTTCCCCTGACTTTCCTCTTTCTGAAATCAATAAAAACATCCTTGGGTGAGGATTTTTTTTAAAAAGGTAATTATTTCTCATTGAATTAAAATGGCGTGATATTTGATGCCATATATGTCAGTAAAGGACAAGTATTTATCCATTTACATATTGTATTACAAGTAGAATATATTATATTGTTTCAGAAAGGATTTAGAGTGCCTAGGTAAGATTTATGTGACCTGGCAGACCATTTATCTCTGCATGCATTATTTTCCATGCTTAGGGCTGTGAAAGTAATTCTACAGAGGCTGTTTCTCTTCCATTCTTTACACTGACTGAGCTAGTGATCTGAGTTGATCCATTGGTAGACTTCAAGCTTAAGCCACTGGCTTACCTTTATTTTAGGACATATTAAGCCCGTGATGCAGATGCTAGACATTTGCGTGATTGCTGGTCATTTTTCTTAGCTTTTGTAAATGGAAAGTCTCTTATTCTTTTTGTGTCCAATGCTCAGAGTGAAAATGCGCGTCTGGCACTCTGTGAACATCCTCAGTGGACCCCTGTGGTGGTGATTCTGGGACTCCTGCAATGCAGTATTCCCCCTGTTCTGAAAGCCGAACTACTGAGGACACTGGCAGCTTTTGGCAAGTCACCCGAGATCGCTGCTTTCCTCTGGCAGTCGTTGGAATACACTCAGGTAGTGTTATGAGCTCCTGTATTCATTTACATTAGTTTAGTTTGGAAAGTGAGGCTTGATAATATTATAGAAGCAAGAGCATCCAACTTGAAACTTATCATATACCATGAACTTCTCAAGTAGAAAGTTACCATTTCCATCCTGAGCATTAGAAACTAATAGGCTTGGTTTTTCCTCTTGGATCTGTGACAACTTTCCTAGGTTACTGGAGACTGGTTCTTCTCTTAAGACTTAGTTTTTCAGTGTAAGAGATTAATGAATGGACAGAATTCCTCAACCCTGTCTTTGAGACCAGGATGATATAAGCCTTCAGAAGTCATCTAAACTCATTAAATGTGGGGAGTGCCTATTTTTCTTTTCTTTAGATGTAAGCCATATTGGAATTTTTCTGTCAAGGTATACCATAGTTATTCTATATGTGGTAAAAGAAATTAAGGATGGACTCTGCAGAGGTACATTTGCGTGATTGCTAGGAAAATGGTTGGATGGACTTTGTGTTTGTCTTAGAAGTAATACAACATAAGGAGGGCCTGTGAATCTAACACATTATTCGTAGAAGCAACTGTTTGGAAGCAGTAAACTATTCTAATTATGTTCTAACATGTGTCCTGAAGATGTTAATGAGACAGTTCTGTCCTCAGAGAAAGGCTTTTTTTAAAGGCCTCCACCTAATAGTATATTCTTAACTTGCAAGAGAGTTAAGTAGCTTGACATGAAATATAATTACTTATACCATAGGCTATGTTTGCCTCTAGCAAGGTCAGGACAGAACATCTTAACTCAAAACTCTGCCAACATAAGAAACCTATTCTGAACAAGTGTACTTAGTTTTCTAGAACACTGGTGAGATTTCATCCCATAAATCCTTTTAAAATTCATTCCTCGAATATCTGAGAGGAAATTTGCAGAAAATGTATCTTGTGTGCACTTAGAAATGACCAGTTTTCTGAAGCCCAGGTAACTGGAAGTTCTGCCCGACCACGACACAGTTGCTAATGGAAGTCCATGGAGACTTCTCAGTTGTCAGTTCTGATTGACATTGTCAGATATGTGGATGTGGTGGGTGGGGATATGACTATTACATCGCAAAGCCACTACTTTTCATTGGTGAATGAGGATTGCTCCTAACCTCTCATTTTTATTATTTTAAGATATTGCAGACCGTAAGGGTTCCAAGCCAGAGGCAAGCTGTTGGTATAGAGGTAAAGTTTTCCTTTTAGTTTGAATGCTATATTTATACAATCACATGATTCACTAGGACTTATTCTTACACTATTAAGTTTCTATTGTTTTCCAATTTAATGTATTTTCATTTAAAGGGTTTGCTGGTCAGTGTTGAAACTTTTAATAAAAAGAACTAAAGTACTTTAGGTTTCAGCATTGGAAAAGGTTGTTACATGGCAGCCTTCCAGACTGAAAGTTTGATTTGACCTCAATATAATTAGGTTACTTGAGTCAACCTGAAGTGGGACTTTGTTTCTTTTCTTCTCTCTCTTTGCTCCCTCTCTCTTTCTTAAAGAAACACTTAAGATTTCTACTTTCACTTCAAAGTTGGAAACAATATATGAGAATTTGAAATCCTTCCATGTGATTGATCTAGATCAGCCGTGGGCAAACTACGGCCCGCGGGCCGGATCCGGCCCTTTTGAAATGAATAAAACTAAAAAAAAAAAAGACCGTACCCTTTTATGTAATGATGTTTACTTTGAATTTATATTAGTTCACACAAACACTCCATCCATGCTTTTGTTCCGGCCCTCCGGTCCAGTTTAAGAAACCATTGTGGCCCTCGAGTCAAAAAGTTTGCCCACCCCTGACTAGATTCATGTACTATTAATACTTTGTATCACTTCCTGGGTTTTGGCTAAAATTAAGTATATAATACTTTTGTGTTTCTTTCTTTAAATGAATAATGGTAATAATCTGTTTTGCGTGTTTTGGTGTGATAGTTTAACAATGTTGAGTTAATGTCTGCAAAGTGCTTGGCACCTTATAGCACCTTATAACGTATTTTTATGTTATCAATTTTTCTTTATTTTTCTTTGGAAGGTTGAACTAAATGAAATAGAATCCCGGTGTGAAGAATACCCGTTGACACGGGCCTTTTGCCAGCTTATTAGTACTCTGGTGGAGAGCTCATTTCCTTCTAATTTGGGTGCCGGACTGAGGCCCCCTGGCTTTGATCCTTATTTGCAGTTCCTTAGAGATTCTGTGTTTCTCCGATTCCGCACAAGAGCTTACCGGAGAGCAGCTGAAAAGGTTACGTTCAGAGAAAAACTTTTTTCTCCTTATTCATATATTGCTACTTTTTCTATTAAAGGTATAAGATACTACAGATTCATTTTAGCTTTTGCAAGTTAGTAAGCTTCACAGTCTTAATACTGAAATGTCTATGGTCTGATTAGTGTATATGCATTAAAAATAATCTTGGGCATTAAAACCAAAGCACTGACTTGTAGTGATCAGTAATTTAATTGCTATGAGTTCACAGTCATTAATGTCCTTAATTGAACAAACTTTGACCAAAATGAAACCAAAAATGTTACACCTTTGTCAGTTGAAAACACTATTTTTTATAGCAATGATTTAGGTTAGGGATCGAAATAAATTTAAACTTGCACCAATTTATTTTGATTAGTAGCACTTCTGGCTTAGTGGGAAAGTGAACTATGATCCATTTAAGTGTCTGCCATGGATAGAAGCTGAGGGAGCATTGATATTTATGCACATTAGCTCTGGTTGCAGCACAATCACAGCTGAGTTTATTGTTTTTATCATCTTATGTAACTCCAATTTTAGTGTGAGGCAGGTACTACTAATATTCCCATTTTACAGATGGAGGCTTAGCAAGGTTAAGGAACTTGCCTATGGTCCAGAACCAGGATTTGAACCTAGGAGTCTGCTTCCAGATCTAGGCATTACCCAGTAAGCTATGTAAGAGACCTTTCCAGGTTCTGACATAATTCACTTTAGTTTATTGCTTCTTGGCCTTTTGGCTAAGATCAAGCATAGTAATTCACTTTAGTATATAATACTGTTTATTGCCTCACAGAATATCCTCACATGTATCTTGTAGGTATATTTCTACCTTATTTTTAAAGTTTGCTGTTTTTGAACCTATTGGGTTTTTTTTTTTTTTTGTATTAATGATTATAAAATTTAAGTTTATGCTCATTTGGGACAGTTTGGAAAAATATAGAAAAATATAAGACATTACATCATTCGTAATCCTGGTGCCAAAGGAAAGATAACTACTTCGTCTTTATCCTATGCAGATGTACTTAAGTCAGATAATTAATTACATTAGTTTTATTGTTTTGGCCACTAAACCATAAAAGGATTTTTTTATGTGTTAATAATAATTGAAAACAGTCTTTCTAATGACTGCATAATTATTACTTTTATCTAGCATAGTTTAGTCATTGCCTTATCACTAAATATAGTTTGTTTCCAATTAAGTCCCAGGTAACTGAAGTTTGGGGGTTTTTTTTGGTCAATGGCTTCATAATTTTTGCTTCTCATGTAGCAAAAATAAACATCAAGAGGGGTATACATTTTATTTAGGCTCTAGAATTACCTTGATAACATATATTCCCTTAATGGATAAAACAATAGTAGTAATTATGACTCATTCATAAAAGTTATTTTGATGGCTAATGGATGCTGATAATTGCAATCTCTTTAACAAAGTGTCCTGATATTTTTTGGGGCATTTATTTTAAATATCTTATTTTTCTTTTCTTAAAAAGGTCATTATGACCTAAGTGTTCAGAGCTTTAGTCAGCCATGCCCTTATGGGTGTTACTACTCTTCGCCCACGCATGTCTGCATTTCAGGTGCTGCTGCTTTCCCTATCCATCATTAATTTCAGTTCCTCCCCAACATATTTACCCCAAGAAAATTTCCCTCAGTTTTGTGAATTGATTTCACTTGAATGTCTTCTTCAGGTTTAACTGCAGCACTATATTTTAGAACACTGGCTTCTCACAAAAACAGTGCTTTGGATTGAGATAGCTTGATAAATGTGTAGAGTGTTAGAGGCAATGTGTATGTTTTCAGTCCTGAAATCCATTATTATGTGGTGATAAACCTTTTTTATTTAAATAAATGATCTTAAAATTTTTGGAAATATAGAAAAAGTGAATAACTTTAAAATAGTAGTTTTAAAAAAATCATGATATAGTCCCAATTCCCAAACTCAGCCTTGATAAAATTATGTGCAGTGAAAATAATAATCTATAAAACAAATCTGTGTATAATTACCAAATTCAGCCTTTTAAAAATTCTATGCAATTAATTTTTAAAATAAAGTTTTAATTTTACTGTCTGTACTATTGTATTTTTCCTTTGGCATAAATATTTTTTCTTTCTGTTGCATAGTTTTTAAATTATTTTTAACAAAAAGGTGATGATGGGTTCTTTTGGGGCAAGCCTAGCAGTGATTATGTCTTGTTAACATCTTTGGTGAGAGCCACAGGATAGCACACTGTCTGGGATTAGAAGTTCAGAGCTTGACCTCCCACATGTTTGCTGCCAAGCTTTATGGTCTCATGGAAAACCATTCACTCTCTTCACCCGGGAAATAAGGGTGATTAGAGGAGATGATTTCTCAGATCTTTTCCCTATGAGATTCTTAGAGAATATGTGTCCAAGTTGGATGTTAATTATAAATGGACTGTGACTAGATATTAAGTGCTTCAGATTTGCTAATGAAGCCCAAATATCAGGTGTAGAAACATTTCTTTTAAAATAATACTTTTACAAATGTTTACCTTGAAAAATTAGCCAGTTCATTATCATTTAGCAAAATAAAGCAAAATAAATTGGGATTTCTGTATTGCTTTGTATAAATTAATAAAGTAGACATGGACTTCACTCATTTCTGGAGGAAAGTCGGAGAAGGAAAAGCCTGGCCTGGCTATCACCTTGGACTATTTTATTGTTACTGAAATGTTTGTATCTTTCTATAGTGGGAAGTTGCTGAAGTTGTTTTGGAGGTGTTCTACAAATTGCTCAGAGATTATGAGCCTCAACTTGAAGATTTTGTAGACCAGTTTGTGGAAATACAAGGTAGTTAATTCCATCACTTTCAAACAAGATGTCAGCTATTTATAAAACTATTTATAATTTATACATTTTATGTCATTTATATTATTTCCATTAAAGTAAAATTTTACTGAATGGAAGCCGAAGAACATTGCCTTACAGATTCTTTAGTGAGTTAACATTATAAGTGACTGATTGCTGTATGCAGATCAGCATTTTGGGGATTTACTATGGTGTACAGTTTGTATCATTGTCTCTAAATTGAAACTTGGCCTTGGTCTGTTTAAATGCCATTTAATTTATGTCTCATACATTCCTCACATTCAGGAGTGTGAGAAAAATACTAATTCACCATCTCTTGGACCGTGTTCTATTTAGGAGAAGAAATCATAGCTTACAAGCCCCCAGGATTTAGCCTGATGTATCATCTTCTAAATGAGTCACCCATGTTGGAGCTTGCGCTTAGTTTACTGGAAGAAGGCGTTAAGCAGCTGGACACCTATGCCCCTTTCCCTGGTACGTGCCTGCGTGTCTTATGTCTCGAAAACAGTTTTGGTATTTTTATCTTTTGTAAACTGAGGGTTTGAAATAATCCAATGACCTCTGAAGATCTTTTTCACAGTAAAATTCTCTATCTACAGTAGTGTTGTCAGGGAGTCATACAATGAAAATATATTAAAAGTGAAAGCATAGATAGTAAAGGACAAGAGACTCACTATAACTGTCTCACTGCAGATTCTTTAGAGGTAATTATAGTGACCTTCACTTTAACATGTTTAACATATGTACATTTAAATCTAAAGTACTTTTTGTTTGTTTTTCCATATAATATTTGTAAAAGCACTTGCTATAGTGCCTGGTACATAATGTTAAATAAATAATTGTTTTTATTGATTGATTGCTTACTATGCATTTTGTGCTTTTAAAAGCACATTTCATGTATTAATGCATTTAATCTGTATGCAAGCCCTGTGTGGTAGATACTATTATTTCCAGTTAACAACTAAGGAAACTGATGCACAAAGAGGTTTCACATCCTCCCCCAGAAAGTGCCAGGACTGTGATTTGAACCTCAGCAGCTTGGCTTCAGAGCCTGTGTATTTTCAATTTGAACGATGGGATTATAAGTGATCCTTGTTTTGTTTCTGGCTTCTTTATTTCCCAGATTTTCCACAATGAGCATGTATTACTCTAAATTAGTTTTTCGGCCTTGGCATCATTGACATTTTGGGCTGAATAATCCTTTGTTGTAGGAGCTGTCCTGTGGATTGTAGGCCTCTACCCACTAGATCAGGGGTGGGCAAACTTTTTGACTCGAGGGCCACAATGGGTTCTTAAACTGGACCGGAGGGCCGGAACAAAAGCATGGATGGAGTGTTTGTGTGAACTAATATAAATTCAAAGTAAACATCATTACATAAAAGGGTACGGTCTTTTTTTTTCTTAGTTTTATTCATTTCAAACGGGCTGGATCCGGCCTGCGGGCCGTAGTTTGCCCACGGCTGCACTAGATGCCTGAGAACCGTTGCTCTAAATCATCGATTTTCAAATTTTTTCATCTTACCACACACATAATGACTAAAATTCATCGTCACACCAAAAAATATATTTTTTGCCTATCTGACAAAAAAGATGTAATTTTGATTCATTCACACTGGATGGCTATTGTTGCGTTGGCTGTTGTCATTTTATTTGATAATCTAAGGGAAAAGAGGTCGATGCCCCTGACTAAATAGTCAGATATTGCATGGTTTAAGATTTTTTTGTGGCACACTAGTTGAAAATCACTGCTCTAAATAGTTAGGGAAAATGTACAGGAAAAATGACCTAGCCCTAGCCAGTTTTGCTCAGTGGATAGAGCGTCATCCCAAGGACTAAAGAGTCCCGGATTCCATTCAGGTCAAGGGTACGTACCTTGGTTGCAGGCTCGATCCCCGGCCCTGGTCGGGGCACATGTGGGAGGCAACCAATCAATGTGTCTTTCTCACATCAATGTTTCTCTCTTTCTGTCTCCCTCTCCCTTCTACTCTCTCCAAAAATCAATGGAAAATATCCTCGACTGAGGATCAACAACAAATACAAAACAAAACAAAATGACCTAGAAGCCATTGCATAAAAGGAATCTGAGTCACAAAAATTACCATAACTTGCATGGGTGAGCAGTTTTGTGAAGTTGCTGCTGAAAGTTTGAGAACTTGAAAGCTTTTTGAATCTAGAACTTGTGTGTGTGTGTGTGTGTGTGTGTGTGTGTGTGTGTGTATGCTTATATTTTAATCCTCACCCAAGGATATGTTTTTATTGACTTGAGAGAGAGGAAGGAAGAGAGAGAGAAACATCTATGTGAGAGAGAAACATCTCTCAATTGCCTCTCCTATGTGCCCCGATCGGAAATTGAATCCACAGCCTGGGTATGTGCCCTGACCGTGAATTAAACCAGTGACCCCTTGGTGCATGGACGGTGCTCCAACCGAGACACACTGGCCAGGCCTTATCTGTTTTCCTAAGACTTGACTATGAGTTTCTACTATTCATGTGGAACTTTCTAACGTCCATTTTTGGTTTATAGGGAAGAAACACTTAGAGAAATCGGTACAGCATTGCCTTGCACTTCTCAATCTTACTTTGCAAAAGGAAAATCTCTTTATGGACCTTCTAAGAGAGAGTCAGCTGGCTCTGATAGTCTCTCCTTTAGAACAGCTTTTGCAGGGAATCAATCCCAGAACTAAGAAGGCTGATAATGTGGTGAATATTGCCAGGTAAGCTATAGTTGTAGGTAAAAAAATGATGAAATGAATTAGATGGGATTCTAGCTTTGATTTCCAAATCTGGACAGATCCCTAATGTACTTTTTTTTTTTTTTTTTTTTTTTTGCGCCTTGTTTTGTTCTTGCCTTCTCTGTCTCCTGTGATTTTAATTACTTTACAATTTATTTTTCTTCTTTCTAATTATTCTATGTTCTATTCTAGTATAAAATGATATAATCTTAATGTTGTATGTCTCCTGTAAGGGAAGTGGGTATTTGGAGGATAGGACTGGGAAGCAAACTTTTCACTGTATATATTCTAGCTTCTGGTTGTTTGGTGGCCTTATTTGGTATTCCTGAACATGTAGAAGCATCACCTGATCTCAGCCTTCAGCTCTCCATTGCTTTTTTCCTATGTGTGTCAATGTTCAAAGGTCTCCTTTCTATGAGGACACCAGTCATTAGGGCCCTTCCTGATGACTTCATCTTAATTTGATTGACTACTTCTCCAAAGACCCTATTTTCCAAGGTCACTATGGGTTTAAATATCAACATAGGACTTTTAGAGGAATACAATTCAACCCATAAGAAGCTGAACGTGGTTAGAAGGGGAAACCGTTGTCTAATTTAACCCAAAGTGCTATATGGGTGGGAGAAGCCCTTGTTCTAAATGTTCTTTATTGAGACAAATGAGAAGCCAAATCTCATTACATTATTCCTCAAATGTTTTCTTGCTTTAAAGATACCTGTATCATGGCAATACTAATCCGGAATTGGCTTTTGAAAGTGCCAAGATCCTCTGCTGTATCTCTTGCAACACCAATATTCAGATAAAATTGGTTGGAGATTTCACACAAGACCAGGTAACAGATTTTGTTGTTGTTAATTTTTGGTGCATCTGAGTTCATATGGAAGTCACAGTGTCTATGGAGGAATTGTATTGTTTGTGAGAAAATTCTCCAGGAATAAGTGTACTTATGTATGCTGGGTGAAAACCTACTTGTATAAAGAGCTGTGCTTTATATTTGGAGAAATTAACAAATACCACAGTGATATTACATAGACTGTAGAATTGATTATACTATCTATACATAGTATGTGATTGTAATGTCTAATGAGACTGTTGCTACTCTGAGCTCCTTACAGTAATTAGGTTGTAAGTGCAACTTCTGTTTGTTTCTTGCATCTATCGTCTCACCCTCTGTCAACTGTATTCCGAGTGAGCCTCTGCACTGCTGAGTGTGTCTCACTGTTGTGAGTTGTCTACTTCTATGGATTTCTGATGATCCGCATTTGTGTCACTTCATTGGATATTACTTTTAACATCCTGCTAAATTTCCTGTGGAGATTGAGTAGTATCTAATCTCTCAGCCCAGAAATATAAAGCTAGTGAAAGTAGTAGATTTCTAAAGATGAGAATTTTAGATGTAAGATGAGAATTTTATTTTATTAACACCACGCTCTAATCAACTGAGCTAACCGGCCGCCCGGAGAATTTTATTTTATACTTTAGTTAAATTCTGTAGAATTTAGTATGTGATGAAGAGGTCATAAAATAACAATTTAATGATATATTTTTTAAAAACTAGTTTGATTCTTTGAGAAAGAAAATTAGGGATGGCAGGGGAGAGTCACTGGGTGGGAAGAGATCAACCAATGAACTTGTATGCATATATGCATAACCCATGGACACAGACAGTAGAGTGGTGAAGGTCTGGGTTGGGGTGGGGTGGGCTAGAAGAGGCCAATGGGGGACAAAGGGGGGCATATGTAATACTTTCAATAATAAAGGTTTTTAAAATCCCAGTAAACTTAAAAATTTTGTTTCTTTAATTATTTTTATAGAGAGCTAACTCATGGCAGTTTAAGGAACTGAGTTTTCTATTAAAAATGTAACTAAAATCTCAATACTTGGTGCAGATTTGCCTTTCTTTATATACAAATGTTTATAAATATATATCATGTTTATTATAGTTTCTCTAATATTTAGAAACTTTATAATTTCTTTTATCTTCATATGACTTCAGAGTATAAGTCAGAAGCTGATGGCTGGATTTGTGGAGTGTTTGGATAATGAAGATACAGACGAATTTATGCGGCTGGACGATGGTAAGCCCTAGATTAAAATGTGTACTTCTTATTTTATATAAACACTTCCTATAAAGGAAACTGTTGGTTATCTGTCTAGTGATGATATAAGAGAACTGAGAGAATTTGCTAGCATAAATGTATGAGGCTTTTGGGAAACTTATTAACAAATCTGAACTCAGTGTGATGGCTAACCAGGTAAACTGCAACCAAAGAAAACATAGAGGTTTGGAAAAAAGTTTTATGGTTTTAAATTTGACTTAATGTTCACTTTTTATTGTTTTATAATTTTGTTTTGTGATTTTTACATTAAGGGTCAGAATTTGATAAGAAATTAGCTGGAATCCGTCATGAAACAAGAATCCATATCTTGAATCTTCTCATCACCTCGCTGGAGCGCAATCCACCCAGTCTTGCTCTCTACCTATTGGGCTTTGAATTGAAGAAACCTGTCAGTACCACAAACCTACAAGACCCAGGTAGAGCTATAAGATACATAGGCATTTATTGCTTTTCATATTTATTTAGCTAATTTAGTCATTTTTATTTTTATATTTTTGTTAATCCTCACCTGAGGATATTTTCATTGATTTTTAAAGAGAGGGGAAGGGAGGGGGCGAGACAGAGAGAGAGGGAAACATTGATGTGAAAGAGACACATCGATTGATTGCCTCCCACATACACACCAAATGGGGCTGAAGATTGAGCCTGAAACTGAGGTTTGAACGTTACTTAGCCTGCAGCCCTTCAATCCAAGGGCCAGCAGTCCAGCTGCTGAGCCAGACTGGCTAGGGCAGTTACTCACTTATTGAATGCCGGGCTCATGGGATAATTCACTGAAAGAAATAGTAATGTAGAGAGATGGATCAATGTTTAGGACTTTAAAGTCTGGACAAACTAATAACCCTTAGAAAATTTGTATTTATAAATTTTTGTATCAGTATTTGTAAGGCTGTTTATAGTAGAGGAGATATATATGGAACCTAACTTTTGTAGAGGTATTTTCAGGTCTTTAATGCAGACATTTTAAGACAAGTTGAATTTTCTCTTGGTTTCACGTAGGAGTGTTAGGTTGCCCTCGGACGTGCCTTCATGCCATCTTAAACATCTTGGAGAAAGGAACTGAAGGGAGGACAGGCCCGGTGGCAGTGAGAGAATCTCCTCAACTTGCTGAGCTATGCTACCAGGTAAGCAGCAGGCTGCATTTGGTAGCACTTAATAGAAGAAACTGAACTAGATGCTTGAATATATCAGCAATGAAAGTATAACAGTAAGACTGAGTTGAAATGAATTCATTTGGTAGTTTGACCAGCCTTTCATTTATGGATAAAATCGATAACACACAAATCCCAAGATCCTATGGATCTACAAATACTGTGTGTTGATCACTTGAAAAATGGGGGAAATTGGATTTTTGAGATGGATTTTGACCAGGTGATGTAGAAACTGCCAATGATGCTGCGTTTCCCTTTGCTTCTTTCTAGTGAAGAGAGCAGTGGATTTGGGTCAGAAGACTTCTGGTTCCCATCTCTGCCCCTAATAGCTAAGACACCGTGGGCATGCCATGAAACTTCTCTATAAGATTTTTGATCTTTGGAAAGGGCTTAAATAAGAATGTAATTGAAAGCACTTTTTAAGAACCATGTAACTTATGCAGCCCTATAGTTATATGTAAGGTGGTAGGAAGTCAAACTAGTGTTAAGTTTAAACTATAGTGAAAACTTCTGTCTTGTATTTTAGACTTGTGTTTATTTTTGATTTATTCATTTCACAAGCATTTTAAGAGCTAGTTTTTATAAGATGCAACTAGTTTCTTAATTTAAGTGGCATCCCAATTCACATTTTCATGCTAAGAAAAGCATCATTAACTTCTAGTGACATAGATATTTTTGTTTTTCATTTTGTAATTCTTTACTATTTTCTTCTATCCTCTGGCTGTCCAAACGGCCTATCACTGTAAGTACTACAGCTAGGTCTTACTTTGAATCAAAATCAATTCTTCCTTAGTAGGGGCATACACTTTATGTGCATTTTGTTTAGCACAGTGTTGTAGAATTTGGCATACATAGGTAGAAGCAATGGGTAAGCTTAGTTATCTGAGTAAGCTGAGGGAGTTAGCCAGGCGAAGTGAGAGACTGAAGCCAGATCAGACATAAAGGTGGGGAGGAAAGAGGAGAAGCTGATAGGCTGAGAGCACTTGCCCTGCTCTGAGCCCCCTGGTCTTTTTCATGTTGGAATGCAGGCCCTGGTTTGCCAGATCCTCAGATTTTAAAACACTGTACTGGCCAAACAAAACATGTCTATACCCTCAGCCTGCCAGTGTATTACATGTGTCCTGTGACGTTGCTACTCAAAATGTGGTCCAGCATCGACAGCATCACCACATGGGAGCTTGTTCATGCAGAAGCTCAGGCCCCACTCCAGACCTGCTGAGGCAGGATTTGCATGTTAACTGGTCCATTTTTAATGAAAGGTGCTTCCTTTACCCGTAGGTTTATGCTTAAAAGTCAAACATCTAAAGAGAGCTTGTTTGTTTAAATAAATCTAGCAAAGTGAAATATTTGGGCCTTATCAATACCTTCATCATCCAACAATACAAGGCTTTCTGGGTGAAAAAGTTGAGACTGAGCCTTGTGACTATGCTCTCTTATTATTTTTTTATTTTTTTACTTTGTAATACTTTTATTAAGAGTGAACCCATATTAGTATTTTTAAACTGTAAGCAATGGGGAACTGAACTATCAAAGACAATCCATTAGGGATCATATATACTAGACAACCCCCTTACATTTTCTTACTGCTTTTATACAATCAATATGTAATATTTAAGCAAAACTGAATTTCTTATTAAGCCAACATTTTTGCATATGCTCCCTTCTTTCTGTGCTTTTATCTTTTGTTGGACTTGCAGCAATTCTGCCTGCATAGCTTTATCTTTTGGTGCTATCTCCTGAGTTTTCTTAAGAGCAGCCAATGCTTGATTGTATTCTTTTAATCCTTGAGCTCTATAGTACAGAGCTTTGTTATTTGATGGGTCTATTTCAAGAGTCTCCAAACAACTGTCAGTTGCTCCCTGTCAATTTGATATCTTCAGTTTACAAGCACCAGTGTTCGGCATGCAGCTTAAAGCTACAGGTTGCAGCTTTGATCTCTCTGCTTTCTCAGTAACAGCCTTTGAACCTTCCACATATCTTAAAACTTTTGTGTATTTTTTAATGGCTATCTCCCATTTCTGGATTGAATCAAATATTTCTAATGTTTTCCTTTCTTTATTGACTTTATTGGGATGACATTGGTTAATATAATTACACTAGAGGCCCGTTGCAGGAAGATTCTTGCAAGAATAGGGCTTCCTCGGGCCCATTCCTGCAAGAATAGGGCTTCCTGAGACCGGAGCGAAGCATAGAAGGGAGCTGCCTCGCTCCCTCCCTTCGCCACTTCACCCTCAGCTCTCTCCCTTCTCTGCCACCTGCTCCGCCTCGCCGGGTCAGGATCTGAGGCCCAGATCCTGTGGGCAGCGTTGGGCGCCGCCGGCCCCGCCTCGCCAGGTCAGGGATCCGAGGCCCGGATCCCGGGGGCAGTGTCTCACGCTGCCTGCCCCACCTTCAGTATGCAAATCTAAGGGCCATCTTTGTTGGGTTAATTTGCATACTCTTCTGATTGGCTGGTGGGTGTGGCGAAGGTATGGTCAATTAGCATCTTTGTCTTTTATTAGTGTAGATAGGTTTCAGGTGTACAATTTTATAATACATCACCTGTATATTGTCCCAGTGTTTTTTTTAAGTCTTCTGTTATTAATGATATTTTATCTATGTCTTTTATATCTATACCTGCATCCTTGGGGAAATCTGAATGACTGTCACCAGAGCCATCTTTTGGGAATGTTCCCTAGTCATCCCCTTCCTTCAATTTTCTGCATTCTGCAATAATGCACAATTTGGCAGGTTTTTCACTTTTCATTTCTACATTTTCCAGAATTGTTGCCACACCCATTCCTTTAATTACTTGGCTAAATACCATGCTTCCTGTCCAAATGAGGAGTTGGAACTGTTGTGATAAAGAGCTGAAAACCATTTGTGCTGTAGCCTGCATTTGCCATGCTTATAATATAAATTTTTATCTACAAAATTTTCACCCTAAATACTTTTTCCACTTGTCCCATTCTGATTTGAGAGGTTTCCACCCTGAATCATGAATTTCTTAATAATTCAATGAAATGGGCATCCTTTGAAACAGAGAGGTTTCCCAGTGGTGAGGCCAATGCCTTTTTCTTCTGTGCACAATGCCTGAGAATTTTCTGCAGTTTTGGGTGCAATATCTGCAAACAATTCTAAGATAATTTAAACAATTCACTTGCCTCCCAAAGAATACTTAGTGGTTACAGGGGTTGGAGGGCTTAGCTTGGGGGGCGGGTACGGCATTTTGACTTGCTGGTGCATTTGGAAGCTGGTTCAGAGAACCTTGGGGATGCGGGCAGCTGAAACCCAGGAGCAGCTGTTGGCAAAGCCCAGGTGGCTGCTCTGTTCTTTTTAAGGATGGAGATTTTTCCTACCTGGCCTTGCTGTGAGGACTCACTTTTCGTGTCCTTCTCCCTGTAACAGTATTACCTCTCCCACATCTTTAAGGATCTGTTCCTATATCTTCTTAACTGGCCATTTAATACAAATAACTGGTTTTTGTTTTGTTTTGTGTGAGAAGTTCAAATTAGCTTATCAAATTTTCATTTGTTTATAGGGCATTAAAACAATGTCAAGGCTGTTTGAAAAACAAGAATACATGTTCAACAGGATTATTTTTTACCTTGTGTTCCTTTCTTTTTCCTTGTGTACACATACTGTTTATTTGGTTATTCTCTTTGTGTATAAACTTACTATGCAGCTACGATGTAAATCACATTTTGGTTGTTTACAGTTTTTTTCCTCTGCTTTGTATTATTAAGAATATATTTCTAGATATGGATTTACAGTCAACTATCAATTTGTTTTATGTATTTACAGTGAACACTGATTTGGCTAATACTGAACTGTTGCTCCTAGGGAAAACAGGGTCAGAATCTTGCAAGCCCCTGGTCTCAACATTTTTGTCAACCAATGAATAACTTTGTTTTATGTGTGTTTCTGTTTACATGTACACTTTCATATGCACTTACTGTTAACTCATTAACATTGAACTCCTGGCCAGCAGCACTACAACTCATGCCTGAAGGAAGCTTACCCAGCACCTGTAACTTCTCTGTAAGGCACAGCACAGCCTTTTTGCCCTTTGGAACACCACACAGCACTCCAGCACTATGCTTAGGGGCCATTCTAACCAGGAAAATCAATAACTAAACACACAAAACAGAGTACTCTGGGAAGGACACTTTTTTATAGCATGAGAACTGAAATGAGAAGCCAGAGCATTGCTCTGTTCAGTCTCAGCTGAGAGCATGGAAACTAGGCGACTCAAGTTTTTTGCTGCTTGTGGTGCCTTTCCATGAATGACCGCAAAAGCATGCGAGTATTGATTTTGGAGTTACAAATAAATTTTTGCATGTAGATGAATTTGCAAGTGCAGACTGTGCAAATAATGAGGATAGACTGTGTTGGGTCAAAGGACATGAATAGTTTTATGACTTCAGATTTTAATTCTGAAGTAATCATAACAAGTAGGGTTCTTAAATTGTGCCTGGTATACGGAAAGCATTTAATAAATATTTATAAAATGAATTACTCATGAATGAAAGTCTTCACTACCATTTTGCCAAATACTGGGATTTGCTTTTTGCATTTAAAAATGTTGCTGATTTTCAGTAGAGGCCTATCTTATTATTGCCTTACTGTTTTCAAATTACTGAAAAGGGTGAACATTTTTCTTCAGTTACTGGCTATTTTTATTTTTTTCTCATGCAAAATGTTTTTCCCATTTTATCTATTTGGTTCTCTTGATGATATTCATATTTTTAATGGAGATCTTTATATGTATTACTAGAGGCCCAGTGCACAAAAATTTGTGCACTCGGGGGGGAGGGAGGCCCCTCAGCCCGGCCTGTGCCCTCTCGCAGTCTGGGACCCCTCGGGAGATAACGACCTGCTGGCTTAGGCCTGCTCCCGGGTGGCAGAGGGCAGGCCCAATCCCTAGGTGCAGCCCCTGGTCAGGCTCAGAGCAGGGCTGATTGGGGAGTTGGGGCACCGCCCCCTGTCATGCACAGAGCAGGGCGGATCGGGAGGTTGCGATGCCACCCCCAGTCATGCTCAGGGTAGGGCCAATTGGGAGGTTGGGGCACCGCCCCCTGTCACACGCAAGGCAGGGTCAATGGGGAGGTTGCGGCGCCACCCCCTGTCATGCACAGAGCAGGGCCAATCCGGGGGTTGGGGCGCTGACCCTGTCATGCACAGAGCAGGGCCCATCAGGGGGTTGAGGAGCTCCCCCCTGTCACTCAGAGAGTAGGGCCTATAGGGGAGTTGGGGCACCGCCCCCTGTCACACACAGAGCAGGGCGGGTCAGGGGGTTGGGGCGCCACCCTCTATCACCCACAGAGCAGGGCCGATCAGGGGGTTGGGGCGCCGCCACTGTCACACTCAGGGCAGGGCCAATGGGGAGGTTATGGCTCTACCCCGTCACACACAGAGCAGGGCCCGGGGGGGGGGGGGGAGGGGGGCGGGTTGGGGCACCGCACCGTGTCACACACAGAGCAGGGCCGATCAGGGGGTTGGGGCGCCGCACCCTGTCACACACAGAGCCGCAGGGCGATCAGAGGTTGGGGAGCTCCCCCGTATCAGGCACAGAGCAGGGCTGATAAGGAGGTTGGGGCGCCTTCCCCTGTCACGAACAGAGCAGGGCGGATAGGGAGGTTGTGGCCCCACCCCCTGTCACACACAGAGCCGCAGGGCGATCAGGGGGTTTGGGCGCTGCCCCCTGTCACGCTGATCCCGGTGCCGGGAGGCCTCTCGGCTCCGCTGATCCCGGTGCTGGGAGGCATAATACCCTTTTACTATATATAGGATAGAGGCCTGGTGCATGGGTGGGGCTGGCTGGTTTGCCCTGAAGGGTGTTCTGGATCAGGGTGGGGGTCCCCACTGGGGTGCCTGGCCAGCCTGGGTGAGGGGCTGAGGGCTGTTTGCAGCTGGTCACACACCCTTCAGGGTGGGGGTCCCCACTGGGGTGCCTGGCCAGTCTGGGTGAGGGGCTGAGGGCTGTTTTCAGGCTGGTGCGTGACGGAAGCTCCCAACCGCTCCTTTTTTTCTTTTCTTTTTTTTTTAAATTCTGGGCCAGCTTTAGCTCTGAGGCTCCAGCTCTTAGGCCTCCGCTGCTGAAAGTAGGTAATCGAAACAATGTATAACTCCAGCTCTGACTCCAGCTCTGAGATCCTGCTGGGGTCCAACCCCAGCAGGTCCAGGGGTCCCCAAAGGTGTGGACGGAGTCAGCGAAGAAGGAATGACACGGAGACAGCGTTCAGTTGATCAGCAGCCTAGCCAGGATCTCTAGCCAAGTTCTGGTCTGGATCTCCAGAGAGGTTCTGCTGTGGATCTCCAGCGAAGTTCTGGTTAGGATCTCCAGCCAGGTTCTGTGTCCATGTTCTCTTGCTAGGCTCTCCAGGTTCTCCAGCCAGGTTCTGTAGCCATGTTCCCTCGCTAGGTTCTCCAGCCAGGTTCTGTCCAGGTTCTCCAGCCAGGTTCAGTCACCAGGTTCTAGTCAGGTTCAGTCCAGGATCTTTTGCCATGTTCTCTCCAGCGAAGTTCTTCTGTCTCTAGATTCTGTGTAGGTTCTGTGTCTAGGTTCTGAGTTCTAAGTTCTGTATCTTGCTGTCTTATTACATCTGTATTTATACCAGTTGATTCAATCCTATCAATCTCTATTACAAAGGTTAGGGTGTTTCTTATCTCCATTCCAGGGAGTAAAGATTATGTAGCTTAAGCATGATTGTTCGTAGTTAAAGTGATTATGTACACACCTGGCACTAGTTAAGAGGTTTCATCCCCTCCCTGACTTCAGGGAAAAATTCCTACCTGGGGAAACAACCTTTCTAGGAGAGGCATCCCCTCCCTGACTTCAGGGAAAAATTCCTACCTGGGGAAACAACCTTTCTCGGAGAGGTGACCTTGGTTAAAACACACAGCGCTAAGGGGAGCAAACATATTAAGAACAGTATGCCATATATGCCAGGTCCTTTGAAACAGCAAGGATGGACTGGCTCCCGGCAAGATCCCAGCTCGCTGAAAGCTGGTTTCTGGGGTTTTTTTTAGCTTCTATATTTGTTAAAATGTTTCAAACTGCAGGCTCAGAGGCTGGCAAGGCAGGCGGGGAACGTTGGAATCCTCCGTCACTGAAGCAAGCAAGCCTCATGTTAGTTTCAAGCTGCCTGGCTTCCGGCCACCATCTTGGCTGACAGTTAACTTGCATATCGCCCTGATTAGCCAATGGGAAGGGTAGTGGTTGTACACCAATTACAATGCTTCTCTTTTATTAGATTAGATAGCTATTCACTTTTTCTTATATTTGATATAAAAGCATTTATTCCTTATTCAATTATTTTCTGTTAAATTTTTATTTAGAGTTTATATTTGCTATTAAGTTGAATCTGTAGATCTTTGTAATTCTTCCATTGCTTCAATTCTGGTAAATTTATTATCTTCCTAGGAGGTTGGGATAAAATAACTGGTTTTCAGAAGTTACTTCCAAGTAATTTGCTACTATTAATAGTTAAAATACTAAAAATTATTAATTACCTATCTGTATTATTAAATATATTTAGAGTGATTTCAAGATTAGTCCTGTATAATGTCTTCATCACTCAATTGTATTTTAATGTATCATTTTTACTTAAAGTGCTAAAGACTGCTTATAACTCTGAGCTTCCAAGTTTTATGCTTGTGTTTATCCATTTTGCTTGAGTTGTTGATGGATCTTAGTTTCCACTTGATCTAAGCTTACATTTTATCTTAAGATGTATAACAAAAACAAAACACTGACTTGGGGATTCTCTTATTTTCATTTTTAAGGTGATATATCAGTTATGTGCATGCTCTGATACATCTGGTCCTACTATGAGATACTTGAGAACCAGCCAGGATTTCTTATTTTCTCAGTTGCAACATTTACCTTTTTCTAACAAAGGTAGGACATTATTTTTCCTTAAATCTGCGAAGTCCATGTTGAGTGGTTTTACTTATGTAACGTTTTGGGGTTGTAGTTACAGTTGTGGAATTCTGTGTTCTTTTTGCTACTTGCTTGTTACTTTGGGTTGCTTTTGTAATTTGTGCTAAGATCAATGTTTTAACTGCTAGCACAAAATTATTTTAAAAAATAGTCTGTCAGCCCAGCTGGAGTGGTTCAGTGGTTGAGCATCGACCTATGAACCAGGAGGTCACAGTTTGATTCCCGGTCAGGGCACATGCCCGGGTTGCAGGCTCAGTCACTAGTAGGGGGCATTGCAGGAGGCAGCCGATATATGATGTTCCTCTCTCATCAATGTTTCTATCTCTCTATGCCTCTCCCTTCCTCTCTCTCTGAAATAATCAATGAAAACATTTTTAAAAATTTAATATTGGAAAAAAATAACCTGTCAGATCATTTTCCTAATAAATAAAATTTTAAAATTGTATTTGAAGGCTAAGAAAATATTTATATGAGAAAATTCTGGAAATTTAGATTTTTTTTAGTAAAAATTGTTTTATAAAAATCTGGTTTTTGTTTCATGTGTATATATTGAAACTAATTAGGTCTTGAAATGAAAAATAGAAAACTAATTATGATGGAAACTATTTATAACTTAGTTTATTGACCTGACCAACACAGTTATCCCAGGCTAACCCATGCTTTATAGAATTCTATATTACATAATTTTCTTTTTGATTAATTTTTAACAATTTTTTGAATTTATATTATAGCCACACAGCGATGATCTGTTTAGTTTTAAAGTTTATGAGGTATCATCTTTGTGTTTTAGGAAATCCACAATCACTGATTTTATAATAAACTAGAGGCCCAGTGCACAAAAATTTGTGCACTGGGTGTGGGGGGGGTGTTGTCCCTCAGCCCGGCCTGTGCCCTCTTGCAGTCTGGGACCCCTCGGGGGATGACCACTTGCTGGCTTAGGCCTGCTCCCTGGGGGATTGGGCCTAAGATGGCAATCAGACATCCCTCTGGCAGCTCGGCAGCCCTCGGGGGGTGTCCACTTGCCAGCGGGGAGCAGGCCTAAACTGCTGTCGGACATCCTTAGCGCTGCTGAGGAGGCAGGAGAGGCTCCCACAACCACGGCTGTACTGGCAGCTGTCAGCCTGGCTTGTTGCTGAGCAGAGCTCCGCATGTGAGAGCGCCCTGACCACCAGAGGGCAGCTCCTGCATTGAGCGTCTGCCCCCTGGAGGTCAGTGTGTGTCATAGTGACCAGTCATTCCCAGTCTTTCTGCTGTTAGGGTCAGTTTGCCTATTACCCTTTTACTGTATAGGATAGAGGCCTGGTGCACGGGTGGGGGCTGGCTGGTTTGTCCTGAAGGGTGTCCCGTATCAGGGTGGTGGTCCCGCTGGGGTGCCTGGCCAGCCTGGATGAGGGCCTGATGGCTTTTGCATTTGGTCACACCCCCTTCAGGGTGGAGGTCTCCACTGGGGTGCCTGGCCAGTCTGGGTGAGGGGCTGAGGGCTGTTTTTAGGCTGGTGGGTGACTGAAGCTCCCAACATCTCCTTTTTTTCATTTTTTCTTTTTTATTCTGGGATTTATTTACCTTCTATGGCTGCCACTGGAGCTGAGAGCCGGCTCCAGCTCTGAGGCCCGGCTCCAGCTCTGAGGCCCGGTTCCAGCTTGAGGCCTCACCTGCTGAAAGCAGGTATCTGGGGTTTGTTTAGCTTCTATAATTGAAACATAGTTGCTTTCGGAGCTGTTGCTTTCAGGCTCAGAGCCGGGCCGCGGCAGGTGGGGAACCTTGGCTTCCTCCATCACTGGAGCAAGCAAGCCTCCTGTTCACTTCAGCTGTGTGGCTGCTGGCCGCCATCTTGGTTGGCAGTTAATTTGCATATCGCCCTGATTAGCCAATGGGAAGCGTATTGGAGGTACGGTTAATTACCCTATTTGTCTTTTATTAGATAGGATTTTCATTATTAGTAATTATAAGCTTCTAATTTCCTTTCTTTAAAATATATTTTTATTGATTTCAAAGAGGAAGGGAGAGGGAGAGAGAGAGAAACATCAATGATGAGAATCATTGATCGTCTGCCTTTTGCACACCCCCTACTGGGAATCGAGCCCACAACCTGGGCATGTGCCCTTGACTGGAATCGAACCCAGGACCCTTTAGTCCACAGGTCGGCACTCTATTCACTGAACCAAACCACTTTTTAGAGTGATGATGTGAGAGACTGTTGCGAATTATCCAATGGCAAAATATTTTTCACTTTATTTTCATAAGTGTATCTATCTTATTTTTAGTTCTAAGATTTTGTTTATTTAAGAAGCTTTTAAAAAACCTTTTATGCTTAATTAGAACGAAAACTTTATCTTGCCTATTATGATATCTGTTTTTAAAAAATTGATCCGTGTTGCCCATTATTATTATTAGTAGTAGTAGCAGCAGCAGCAGCAGCAGTAATAGTGTTTGGTGTGTTTTATGTTTATATTGCCACAATTTAGGACTTCAAAACCAGGCATATTAAAATAATACTGGAATCAAAAACTTATATAATTATCAACCCTACTTACATGGGTTTTTTTGGTAAAAGTTTTACTATGCACAGAGCAGGGAGGAGGCTCAATCCTTATTGGCATCCGCTTTTTGGATGTGTGTCCCCACACTTTTTTTTTTTTAATATATTTTATTGATTTTTTACAGAGAGGAAGGGAGAGAGATAGAGAGTTAGAAACATCGATGAGAGAGAAACATCGATCAGCTGCCTCCTGCACACCTCCCACCAGGGATGTGCCCGCAACCAAAGTACATGCCCTTGACCGGAGTCGAACCTGGGACCCTTCAGTCCGCAGGCCGACGCTCTATCCACTGAGCCAAACTGGTTACGGCCCCCACACTTTTCTTGATGAACTTGAGGACCGACTTGTTTTTGGAGACCATGAAGTGCTCCATGGCACTCTGCTCATAAGGAGTGAAACCCACACCTCTCGGATCATGTCCCACACAAACTTGGTGGCTTGGTGAGGCGTCCGCAGTGGCGGCTGTGCCTCGGCTGGCTCATGTTCTTGGTCCCCTTGTGGCCCTTTTTGAGGCCCATGCCATGGGGCATCGCAGAGCCAGAGCTGTGGCTGCTGTTCTTTAATGGCTGCTGCGGTGGAAAGCACAAGTCTAATTTTATGTTCAACCAAATGTCCTGGGTTATCTTAAGAGATCTCATAAAGTTATACAATTTAAATTAGTTTTAAGTTTTAAAATGTATTTTTGTGAAATAAAAATCAAACTATGATAGTTTTTTAATATATTTCATTTAAGAAATATTTGTATATGTTTGAGAATTTTTTTAAAGTATTACATTCTATGTTAATACCAAATGTGACAGACTCAGAATTCTGTAGATTTGTATGAAATTATCCTGGTAATAGAAACTTGATTCTCCTATTCTTCATTTGCTTTTGGTCATCTTTTATAAATATGTACAACCTTATTTTTTTCTCCCGTGGCATCTGTGTTTTCTTTTTTAATGATACAGAGTGATAAATTATTGTGTTGCCAACTTTCATAAATTAACTATGTTACATGAGACTATATCTGAGAAGTTATGGAATTTAGGTCTGTTCTGATCTTGTATTATTTTTCTGGGAAACTAAACTTATGTATTTCATTTCCAGAATATGAAATATCTATGTTGAACCAAATGTCATGGCTGATGAAGACTGCCTGCATAGAACTAAGGGTAACGTCTCTGAATCGTCAGCGGTCACATACCCAGAGGCTCCTACACCTCTTGCTGGATGACATGCCAGTGAAACCATACTCAGGTGAACATGTGAATGTTGGCATTGCTTTATTGTGCTGCTGACTGGTCTGAATGAATGTGACAACAGATCTGAATCTTGTGCTTAGTATGTGATTATAGGCCAAGCAAGTCCTTTCCACCTTGCTTAAAACACCATTTTTTCCCTTAAAACACAAAATTTGAAAATCATCCCGTAATTGTCATTTTATTATTGTTTGAAGCATCCAAATTTTGCTCTAATCACATACACAAATATTCAGTGGAATTTGTTCACAGAGCCAGCAAGATCCAAGATATTTTAAAAAATGCATATTTTTACTAGAGGCCCATCCGTGCACCAGTGGGGTCCCTCGGCTTGGCCTGTGCACTCTCGCAATCCGGGACCCCTCGGGGGATGTCGCATAGCGGGTTTCGGCCCAATCCCCGCAGGTCCGATCCAGACAGGCGGGAGCCCTATCCTGTGTGCATTGAGCATCTGTCCCCTAGTGGTCAGTGTGCGTCATAGCGACTGGTCCACTGGTCATTTGGTCATCCAGTTTCTTAGGCTTTTATATGTATAGATTGATTTCAAAGAGGAAACGAAAGGGAGAGATAGACAGAAACATCAATGATGAGAGAGAATCACTAACCAGCTGCTTCCCACATGCCCCCCTTGGGGTTCGAGCCCCTAACCTGGGCATGTGACCTCCTGGTTCATAGGTCAATGCTCAGCCACTGAGCCATGCTGTCTGGGAGACCCAACATATCTTAATAACTATTATATTTGCAAATTAAGCATAAGCTTTTCTAATCATCTCTTGGGCATATTGGGTCCTGACTCTTGTGGAGTTCTGAGTATCCTCTTTACAATTGTGAAGGGGATCCCAGAGGGACAGAAAGAATTAGAGGAATGTTATTGGTAAGTCCTCATCATCTTTCCATTTTAATTATCTGTTTGCAAAGGGCTCTTTGAGCTAGAAACAATGACCTAGAAATAAAATACTTTATGCTTGTTATTTTCAAATAAAGTTTACAAGTATGTTGTTCTTTTTCTGATCTGTTGTTACTGACGCTCCAACAGATGGTGAAGGAGGACTAGAAGATGAAAATAGGTCTGTCTCTGGGTTCCTTCATTTTGACACGACTACAAAAGGTAAAGTCTTTTGAATTCATGGTAAATTTATAGGTATATATTAAATTGCTTAAAATTTCTAGAAATGATTATTATGCCCATGTCCTCAAATTCTTAACTGGTATAGAAAAGCTGTATAAAGGATTGTCATCCAAAATATGTTATAAATAGGATGATAGGATGGGAAAAAAGTATTTTTGCAAATGGATGTATTAAAAATAAAATTAAGTTTTATTTAACTTTCTAGATTTCATTTTCTAGACTGATGTCCTTTTTGAACTTAGCACTCACTAGCTTTGATTTGAGCATGGTGGTTTGCTCTTCTCCTCAGTGTCCCAAGTAAACTTGAACTACGTTTTATTATTTCCAGTACGTCGAAAAATTTTAAGTATTCTTGACTCAATTGACTTCAGTCAGGAGATTCCTGAGCCTTTGCAATTGGATTTCTTTGATCGGGTCCAGATTGAACAAGTTATAGCAAACTGTGAACACAAGAATTTACGGGGACAGACAGTCTGCAATGTCAAGGTGAGGATGACTTTCAAGTGTGTGCAGACTGACTAATCAGACAAAAATACAATCATGCAATTGTTTTCTGATAGAGATACTGTTTTATTGGACTGTGGTTTTTAGTTTTCAAATAGCTGGGAAATCAAACTAAATAGAGCACACTACCTTTACCTGTTTAAAAAGTTCCTCATCACCTTTCTCTTAGTAGTCATGCTGTCCAGTTATAACATGGAGTGTGTGGTTTTTTAATATATATGTTAAAAACTTTATTTAAAATGTTACTGGATTTATAGTATATTTATATTCATCTGTCACAAATTGCATTTTGTGAATATAGGTCTAAAGTTGAGGAATAGATCTACAATGTAGCTATAGAGGATTAAACAAACTAATTTATCAGTTAAATTCTTATTTATAATAGTTAGCATGCATTGTTATTATTTTATAAACTTTATCATCTTTATCTTTCTCATCCCTGCCCCCTGCTATGGAGTGGTTTTAACTATTTAACTTTCTGTCAGGTAAATGGTATTGACCTCACTAGTAGGAGGATAACCAGGGCAGGCTCTTTGGTACCACTCTCAAATGTGAGGGGTACCTGATGTTTCTGACTGGAGACCGGATGGTGCCAGTTAGATTGTATAAGGGTGTCTGCGAGTTTCCCCCCTAGGGCAGCTTATAGGAATTGCTAGGGGTTACTGTTCTACCAGTGTCTGAAACAGTCTTATTTTTCTCTCTTTACCTCCTTCCATAGCTTCTTCATAGAGTTCTTGTAGCTGAAGTAAATGCCCTTCAGGGTATGGCAGCCATAGGACAGAGACCTCTGCTAATGGAGGTAAGCCTATTGAGTCTGTTCGCTTTAAACTTTTAACTTCTTAAATTGCCAGTTAGAAGACAACCCAATAAATGGACTTGTAGTTCATCAATTAATAAATTACTTAAAATTTTAACTTTAATGGAGTCTTTCCTTTTTTTACTTTATAACTTTTATGAACTGAACTGAAGCTAATGTCTGGATGCCAGAGTAAGTAACATTTTTTCTGGTAGGCCAGTTAAGGATTTGCAGCTCGTTCCTGTTGTATATTAGACCACTTGCTCCCTATCAGTGAGGGAGGAGAGAGTCATTTGTTGTTACAAGTGGGGATTTGTAGGTAAGAGGTCAGATGGGAAGAACCACATACATGGAAACAGTTGGCTAGGCAAAAGCAAGAAATAAGAAATAAAAGACATGACAAGGAAACATGCCACTGAACTTGGGTTTTAGGTAACTCTAGTGCTCCAGATTTAGTTTAAGTAGATAGTTACAAGGAGAAAGAAGATGGGGTTATAAAAAAGCTGATTTCCACCTCTACCACCTCTGCTCCCTGACTTAAACACACACAACCGCATACACACACACAACCATATATATTGTTTTTCATAGCACTGGCCACCAATATAACATAGAAAGTTGTCTGCTGACTGGCATACATGTAGAAAGTTTGCAAAATATTCTATAAATGTTTTCAGATTACCTGACTGTAAGAAAATAGGAACCTATTGGTAAAAGATTATATTTGCCATGTGTTAACCTTGTAATTCAATTTCTCTGGCTTTAGGAAATCAGCACCATACTTCAGTACGTGGTAGCAAGAAACAAGTTGTTGCAGTGTCTTCATGCAAAACGGCATGTGCTAGAGTCATGGAGGCAGCTGGTTGAAATTATACTGACAGCTTGTCCCCAGGACCTCATTCAGACAGAGGACCGACAACTGATCATTCGTGATATTTTACAAGATGTGCATGATAAGGTGACATACTTCCTAAATTACTTCAGACTGCTGAACAAATGTTTATATACATACTAGAGGCCTGATGCATGAAATTTGTGCAAGAGTAGGCCTTCCTTCCCCCGGCTGCCAGCATTGGCTTCCCTCTGGCACCCGGGACCCAGGCTTGCTTCCCTCTGGCCGCCAGCAGGCACCCAGGACCCGGGCTTCTCTCACAGGCCTGGCTTCATCCGGAAGGACATCTGGTCTAATTAGCATATTATGCTTTTATTATTATAGATAGTTTGGCAACTCCTTTTTTTAAGTTTTAGATTTGGATTTGGTAGAATTGCGCAAAACTAATGTTAAGATTTTCTTTGAGAAAGGTATTAATTCTGTATAGTAGTTGCTCTGAACCACAGTGTGTATCAGAATTATCTAGGGCTGTAGTCGGCAAACTGCGGCTCGCGAGTCACATGCGCTCTTTGGCCCCTTGAGTGTGGCTCTTCCTAAGCCTTAGGAGTACCCTAATTAAGTTAATAACAATGTACCTACCTATATAGTTTAAGTTTAAAAACTTTGGCTCTCAAAAGAAATTTCAGTCGTTGTACTGTTGATATTTGGCTCTGTTGACTAATGAGTTTGCCGACCACTGATCTAGGGAGTTTTTAAAAAATCCATATGGACAAATTTTACACCAGACCTACTGAATAGGACACTAGTGGTGAGGCCATTTATGTGATTTGCCATTAAAAACCTCGCAGGGAATTCTAAAGGGAATCCCTTCTGGTTAATAACATGTGTTTCTCTCTGTTTATTAGCTTTTATTTTCCTGGAACAGTGCAATGCTATTCTTATATTCTTATGGTAGTTGAAAAGCTAAGCATATATAAACCATATTAATGACTGTAGCTGAAAGCAGGGTCCTCACTCTGATTTGTCTTTCTGCTTTAAGATACTGGATGATGAGGCAGCACAGGAGTTAATGCCAGTGGTAGCAGGTGCTGTGTTCACCCTGACCGCCCACCTAAGCCAAGCCGTGCGCACGGAGCAGAAGCAGCCATTAGCCTCGGGACTCGGAGAAGCCCATTACGCTTTCATGCTTGATAGCTGTTTCGCCTCCCCTCCAGCACAGAACCCAGTGGTGGATTTCACTGCTGTTGGAGATTCTTCACTTCACATCATTTTGAAGAAACTGTTAGACTTCATTTTGAAGACAGGTTTTTTTCATCGAAATTTTCTATAAATTATAGCTTTTGTATTTGTTTTAACTTGTGTTTGAAAAAACGTTTTTACTTTACTCTGTCTCCCTAGGTGGTGGGTTCCAGCGAGTGAGGACACACTTGTATGGCTCTCTGCTCTATTACCTACAGATTGCACAGAGACCTGATGAACCGGACACCTTAGAAGCAGGTATAATTAGATAGATCTCCAATCTATTCTGTTTTAGGATTTGTTAAATTTTTAAAAATCACTTTTCCATCTTTTGTTTAAGCAAAGCTGTAATAAGTCTGTACGTGATCATTTAAAGGCTTACTCTAAAATAGAGAAGAATGGTTAGTTTTCTAAAATTCTGAAGGTAGTCTGTGAAAACAAACCCTCAAACACAACCCTAGCTTATGTTTTAACTCGCTGTCCTGCCCCTGGTTCACTGAAAAATGTGCTGTGGTGTGTGCACCCTCATTCCTCTTTTGTTGTGCAGCCCACTACACATATAGGTGAGCCTTTTAAAATGGCTCTGTTTTTCCAAAACATGGAAGTAACATTATTTTACAATTTGCTTTATTCATAGGTATTTGAATTATTTCTAATTTTACTATAAAAAATGTTGCCTCAAATAGTCTTTTAAATGCTTATGTATTTTTCAAGAAGAATAATTCATGGTGGAATTTCATGACAAGTGTGTGCACATTTTTCTTTTAATAGATTCTCTTGAATAGCCCTCTACCATTTACATGCTCACCTATAGCATATACGTCTTTTTGTACTAATGTGAGGTTTTTCTTGGACAAATTGCAAGAAGTAGAATTTCTTGTTTAGAAGATATGCATATTTAAAATATTGATAAATGTTGCTTTCTAAAATGTAGTGTTTTTAATTAATAGTAATAAGCTGATTCTTTGGTCTCTAGATATGAAAAATATTTTTGACAGTTCAACAGACCAGTCAGTGTATAGTACTTACTCTATGCCAGAGTTATTCTGCTATTTAGGAACTTATTATAAGCACCTTTGAATAATGGGCTCCCTGTGCCCTTCTAAGAATCCTTAGGAGTGTTTGTCATTTTGTACATACATTCTTTTTTTTTTTTTTTTTTTTTAAATACATTTTCATTGATTTTTTAGAGAGAGAGGAAAGGGGAAAGAGAGAGAGAGAGAGGAAGAGACATTTATGTGAGAAACATCAGTCTGATCTCTTGCCTCCTGTCGGGGATCCAACCCTGACTAGGAATCCAACCCACAAGCTGGGTATGTGCCCTGACTGGAAATACAACCAGTGACCTTTTGGTGAATCAAACAACATTCAACCAACCAAGCCACACCGGCCAGGGATCTGTACATAGATTCTTAAAAACCACTCTGTGGCCCTGTCTGGTTTGGCTCAGTGGATAGAGCGTCGGCCTGCAGACTGAAGAGTCCTGGGTTCGATTCCGATCAAGGGCACATGCCTGGGTTGCGGGCTCGATCTCCAGTAGGGGGCGTGCAGGAGGCAGCCAACGGATGATTCTCTCTCATCATTGATGTTTCTATCTCTCCCTTCCTTTCTGAAATCAATAAAAATATTAAAAACAAACAAAAAACCCCACTCTGTGTATAAGACCCAGATTATCTCATATTATTCTTTACTGGCTATATATTTTTATGTACTATCTTTCTTAGAAGGTAATCATAGCCAAATGATGTATTTATAGAAATGTCCTACCCACTTAAATAATGCACACAAATATTTTTAAGGTCATTAATAATAAAAGAATAGTTCCGAGAAGCTTTTTAAACAGGAACTTTTTTTAAGTGAGAGATAGGAATGGGGATCCCATTCCCCTACCCCCCAACATAACTCCCCCATTTTCCTCCTCTTTTAACATTGTATTTAGTTGAATTGGCAAAATCAACACTTAACAGCTAGGTGGAGCTCTACATCATGATTTTGATAAATTACTATCAAGTTGTAGTACAGAAGCGTGACCTGAAAGAAAATTTTTTGTTTGTAATTTTCAAGTGATCAATATTTAGAATAATTTCATCACTTAGTTTTTTCTTAGCCATAATTACTGGTTATTTTGACTTATTTTAAGTAGCAAAGTACCTTTTCCCCCTAGGTAGTAGTGTTTTTAAGTTTTAAATTAGAAACATTAAATTTAGTAAGTATTAGCCGAAACCGGTTTGGCTTAGTGGATAGAGCATCGGCCTGCAGACTGAAAGGTCCCAGGTTCGATTCCGGTCAAGGGCATGTACCTGGGTTGCGGGCACTTCCCCAGTGGGGGATGTGCAGGAGGCAGCTGATTGATGTTTCTCTCTCATCGATGTTTCTAGCTCTCTATCTCTCTCCCTTCCTCTTTGTAAAAAATCAATAAAATATATTTAAAAAAAAAATTTAGTAAGTATTTATTGAGCACATACTTTTATGCCAGACACTGTACCTACTTTCTGTTTTGTTTTAAAACAACAACTGAATTTTAATGCTTACATACTTATTTTCCATACCACTTTTACTCTGCTTTTAATGTAACCATATATTGGGCAGCCATTTACCTTGTTTTGTGTAAAAGGAATCTGACTTACAGAGACGAAATAACTTGCTTATCTGGCAGATATGAGAATCAGAATTCAGTTTTAAGTTTTCTCCATTTGTTTCTCTCGAATGTTTTTTCTGTTGACCTTACCACCTCACACCATCATATTTTTGTCTTTTAATTTTTCCTTATTGTAGTTTAACAGATAATACCTACCAGCATGTTGTGCATGAAGTGTAATGATTCAGTGATCAAATTGGAGTGTTTTAACTTTTTCTATTGTAACTCTTTTAGCCAAAAAAACCATGTGGGAAAGGTTGACAGCCCCTGAAGACGTGTTTAGTAAATTACAGAGAGAAAACATAGCCATCATTGAGAGCTACGGTGCTGCCCTCATGGAAGTGGTCTGTCGAGATGCCTGTGACGGTCATGAGATTGGAAGGGTATAGTAGCTTCCGTTTAGTATTATAATTGAATACATATTTTTACTTGTTAATGAATAAACTGATTCAACTTTTTAAATGTATGTTATATATTGAGAATTATTTTCTACAGTGTATTAGTGAATTTGCTTACTTGCTATAATTTGGAATTTCTATTTTTTTAGTCATATGTTTTGTTTAATTCTGTTTAGAATCTCAATTAGTTCAGAATTTTCCCTCAGATTAATCTTTTTGCTGATTTTGAGGTTGGCCTGATACGAGTAGAAACAATAGAGATGGTGCAGACAGCTTTCTGCTAGTGGAAAATTAGTATATGAATCATGTTGAAAACCACGGGAGACAGGATTTCAAGAAGTGCGTAAAATATAGATTGTAGTAAATTCTCAGTTATATTTTTAAAAATGCTTGTGTTCTTATGCATAGGAAAAAGACGAGGAGGAGATAGACCAAAATGGATTAACTGTATTTATCAAACTATGTATTTTCTGTATACTTTTCTATAATGAGTGTGTAAAATTTTACGTTAGGGGAAAAAAGCTATTTAAAAAAAATCTTTGCTCTAACAAGTAATGTTTAGATTATGCTGAAATATATTAAATGCCATTATTTTAATGTATTAGGTTTTGTTTCAGAAAAAATCTTTATCCTGAAAATTTTCCTTTTATTAATCAATCGAGATTTTGGATATATAGCTTTCAATTTCTCAAAAAAAAAAAAAAAAAAAGGAAGTTTTATTGCAAGCAGTGATCCTCCTTGTAAGAAAGGTTCTGAATATTCCCAGATGAAGGCCATTTCTGTCTTCAAGTTTGGTAGCCTCCTCCATGGCTTGCATTTGGATTTATCTTCAGATGCTGGCGCTGGCTCTGCTCGATCGGATCGTCTCGGTGGACAAGCAGCAGCAGTGGCTTCTGTACCTGTCCAACAGTGGCTATTTGAAGGTGCTTGTGGACAGCTTGGTGGAAGATGACCATACTCTGCAGAGCTTACTCACACCACAACCGCCCCTTTTAAAAGCTCTGTATACTTACGAATCCAAAATGGTAAGGCTTTATATTCGTTTGAAGTTAGACTCCGTTCGTTTCCTCTTGGGGGGGATAGATGTAGTCAAGAACATTAATGTAGAATAGTATACTACGTATTTGGAATATTTCTATCATGTAATCCAGAATCATTCTGAGGAGTTTTAAATTTGGTGACATGTGCTAGAAATGTATCTCCTAAGCATGCCAACGTTGATTTGAAATGTTCCTGAGAGGGTTAGCTGGATAATGGGACTGCTGCCTGCTCACATGGCTGGTGGTGGCGAAAGATGTGCCAGCCCCTCGGTGCTGTGAGGAGGGCGGGCGGCCAAGTTGTCCTTCCAGGACAAGATTCTGGCACAGCAGTTGCCTCCTGAACATTCATTCCAATGTAGATGTGCTGGTTCTACTTTAGATGCAGGATTCTCTGTGCAGTCTATAATTCATCATTTCCTTTACTCCAAATCGGTTTTCTCTGTTTCTGACTGCTTAAAAATATTACAGGGTCACAATAATAGAAGCACTAAAGTTTTAGGTTTTTTATTAACTTTTTCTCACTCCTCTGTTCATTTATTCAAGTATTTATTAAATATACAGATTATATGCCAGGTGTGGCACTAGCTACGTGAGGATACAACTGTGAGCAGAGTAAACGATCTTCCCTCCCTGAGCCACATGATGATAACAGAAAGTACTGTTTAGTTGGATACTTAATTCATGTAAAACATGGCATGCGGCACTTTGGATATGCTATGCCATTCAATCCTCAGAAAATCCTGTGACAAAGGTGGTGTAATGTATCCTTTCATAGCCCAGTGATGATTCAAGATCAGAAATGTGCCAGAAGAGTCTTCTATTTATCTGAAGTGCTTGATATTATTATTATGCTTGATATTATTCTGCAGTGATGGTTTTCTTTTGGTGACTTCTTAGGCGTTTCTCACTAGAGTGGCTAAGATACAGCAGGGCGCTTTAGAACTGCTGAGGTCGGGGGTGATTGTGAGGCTGGCACAATGCCAAGTCTATGACATGCGCCCAGAAATGGACTCGCAGGGGTAAGTGTCCATATAGATTGTTTGTGAAGTTCCCTGTGAAGAATTATTAAGGGGAAAAAGAGATTCCAACATAATTTTGCCCCTGGTTCATAATTCTGTCTGAGCAGTATTTTTTTAACTGAATGATTTTTTTTTGCGGGGTGGCGGGGTGTTGAGGGGGGTATACATACCTGCCACTTACTAATAAATGGAAATTGCTAATAAGTGTAAAAGTGGGTAAGGACCTAAAACTTTCTATTTTAGAGCAGAATATAAGAGGGAAATTGGAGAGTATTTTGTTAGTAAATGTTTTTCTTCCCAACTTTGTTTTGTGTAGTTGAAATACATGTTTTCAGTGATGGTCGTCCTTGACAGTATCATCGTGAAATTACAGTTCATTGTGGATTTCCTATTCCTGAGACTGGAATAGCAGTTTATATTTTTCTCATTTTTAACATTTTACCAACTGCTTGCTAATTTGAAAGCAAAAGGTCATGTTATTTTAAATTTCAGACTTCTTAGCAAGTATCCCAGTTCAGTTTGAATACGGATTTTGTTTTTCCTTTTTTTGTCTATATGGCTGCAACATTGTTAGTCAAATAGTCTGCCCTCCTAGTGGCAAATAACAGTTCAGTTTTAATATTTTTCTTCTAAAGATCCATTGGCAAATTGAATATTTGAATTTTTCAGGACTAACGATAGAACTATTTTGCCTCCAAAAAAATTGGTTAATGTTGCTTTTTAAAATTTTAAACATGAGAGTTACTATTTTCACCTTACACAAAAAGGATTGAGTTAATTATGTTTCTTAGATCATGGCACTTGTCTATGCAAAGCCTTTCTCTTATTTCCTTTATTTTCATATTCTCTGTCTATTCCCTTCTCTTCAGCAGGGAATGATTTTCTTTAGTCTAAAACTTGAAATGTAAACATTTATAATAGATAATAATTTTACTACTACAGTGATCTGAGACTGAATTTTTAAAAGTCAAATGATTTTTACAACCTCATTTTAACTTAAAATTTTTTAAAAAAAATATAATAGACTACAAATGCAATTCATTTTTGGCTTTGGGTACAGGAGAGGGAAATTTGGGGAAAGACTTGTTTTTATGTTTCTTACTCATAGTCTCTATGGCCCAAGGGAACATTTCGAGTAGAATAAATATATTGAGGAAATTTCAAGCATTGCCTTTTCAAATTATGCAGATTTTTCTTACTAAGGATTTTCAAAATTCAAATAACTTTTGTGGTGGTTTGCCATGGAGATAGATGGTCAGGGACGTTTGAGTGTACCTTACCCCTTGCACTGTTGCTCTCTCCTTGTTCGGTGGAAATAAATGAAGCATGTTTGGCATGAGGGACCCCCCAGTGTTCATCCCGACTCCAGTGGACCGGTACCGTCAGATTCTCCTTCCAGCTCTCCGCTTGTGCCAGGTCATCCTCACGTCTAGCATGGCCCAGCACTTGCAGGCAGCAGGGCAGGTAAGGGGAACCTTAATGTAGAAATTGTCTCATGCCAAATCCTCATGTTACAAATGCAGAAACCCTAGGATAGAAAGCATGAGTGAATTGACAGTAATCATCTTGTTTGTGGACCACCTGGATATTGAAAACAGGGCCCTGTACCTTACTCTGAACATCATTGGCCTGTTTTTATACTTTGTTTGAATGAAACACCACAGCTAATTAATAGAATGGTGAGATGGAAAGTAAGAGATTTAAATCTGTTCTTCAGTAAAGGAAACTGTTATTGTGATAGGAGTAAGCTGGCTTCTAAAATGTAATTTAACAAGGTATTTATTGAGAGGAGGCTATACACCATGTTAGGCCTTGCAGTAAATACAAAATATAGAATGATACACCACATTTAGTTGTGATATTTAGAGAATGAAGTAATTTAAATAAATGAATTTTCATCCTACCTGGTTTGGCTCAGTGGATAGAGTGTTTGCCTGCAAACTGAAGGGTCCTGGGTTCGATTCTGGTCAAGGGCGCATCTCATCATTGATGTTTCTAGCTCTCTCTCCCTCCTCCTTTCTCCCTGAAATCAATAAAAAGAAAATATTTTTTTTTAAAGTGAATTTTCAAACTCATAAAAATTTTTTTGAATACCAGAAATTAGTTTTATTTTCATTGATTCTCAGTGAAACCTACAAAAAATATGTATATATATTATTTCTTTAAACTAATGATAATACAATATATAATTTAGCCTTTCACTGATTAATTAGGCTTGTCATTATGAATCTTCAGTCTTATTGTATTGCTCTATTTCTGTGATACCCTCAGGAACTATGTCCCTAATAATTTATGGTAATTTTGTCTGCTTTTCCTGCCATCAGTTCAGGCTTATCTCATCAAGATAGAATGCCGCTGTTTCTAAGGTGCCACCTTCATTTGTACTGAATTAGTCTAAGTGACATTCTACCCTGTCATACTGGGCCTTTTGAGTCAATTCTTTAATGCTCAAACACTTCCCTTGTCTTCTACAGTATTATGATTAAGACTTTTTGGTAGAAGTTGGCCATCTACACTAATAAAAGAGAAAAATGGTAATTGGCGTACGGCGATACCATTTTCATTGGCTAATCAGGGCTATATGCAAATTAACTGCCAACTAAGATTGTCAGTTAACTGCCAACAAGATGGCGGCTAATTTGCATATGTAGGCACAACGCAGGGAGGCAAAAGGGAAAGCAGGAAGAAGCCCCCTGCCACTGACAGTGATCGGAAACCCAGGGGGGAGCTAAGAGCTGGGGGGCCGCCTTTGCCCTGCCCCCCAGCCATGATCGGAGAATCAGGCGCCTTTGCCGCCCTGGCCAGTGATAGCAGGAAGTAGGGGTGGAGCCAGCCATGGGAGCTGGGCACGGTCGAAGCTGGCAGTCCCAGGAGCTAGGGGTCCCTTGCCTGGGCCTAAAGCGAAGCCCACGATCGCGGCACCCCCCGCTGCCACTGCAGGTCCCTGCTGCCCGGGCCGGACGCCTAGGCCAGAGGCGTTAGGCCTGGGCAGGGGCGGAGCCTGCAACCGCAGGGAGCTGGGGGTCCCCTGCCCAGGCCTGACACCTCTGCCGGAGGCCTCAGGCCTGGTCAAGGGGCCGATCTGGTGATTGGTGATCGGAGGGTGATGAGGGTCAACTCCTCTGGCTGAGGCATCAGGCCTGGGTGGGGGGCGGAGCAGGGGATTGGGGGGATATGATGGTCCCCTTGCCCAGGCCTGAAGCCTGGGTCAGAGGCGTCAGGCTTGGGCGGGGGGTGGAGCAAGCGATCAGAGGGAGATGGGGGTCCCCTGCCCAGGCATGATTCCTGGGCCAGAGGCCTCAGGCCTGGGCGGGGGCCAGAGCCAGTGATCGGGGGGAGATGGGGGTCCCCTGTCCAAGCCTGACACCTCTGGCAGAGGCGTCAGGCCTAGGCAAGGGGCCGATCAGGTGATCGGAGGGTGATGGGGGTCAACACCTGAGGGCTCCCAGTATGTGAGAGGGGGCAGGCTGGGCTGAGGGACACTCCCCACCCCCCCCACACACACCCAGTGCACGAATTTCGTGCACCGGGCCCCTAGTAGTGATATAAGACATCGGTTCTCTGATACCCGTCTTACTGACTATAGCAGAATCTCCTAAGGAGCATCTTTAAAAAATAGAGATTACCGAGCTCCATGTCCAGTGATTATGGGCTAAGACCAGGAATCTGAATTGGAAAAATGAAAGGGGGCACAGTTCCCGAGTGACACATGTTCGGCTTATTTGGGCATCATCTCTGTGAAAGCATTTCTGATCAAGTTGAGGATACCTTGTATGTGAAAATCGAGCTCTTTATGCTGGTGCCCTGTAAATTCCAGGTGGAAAGGCAGAGTCTGAAGGTCAGGGTTTCGATCTCATTTTACCCCGTCCAAAGGAGAACTAAACGAAAGCTTTTATGTGACTCTCCCCATGTCACATTGGCAGACTTTCATAGAGCCCCTTCAGTAACTCGTTTTAATACCCACGGATTTTAAACTCATGTTCTAATTCCATTTGGACAAAAATAAAAGAAATAAAATAGGGTTCAAACCATAGTTTTCATACACTACTTCTAAGTTATATTCTTCTACAGTAGCCTCCAAATTTTTTTAATTTATTGATTGATTTTTAGAGAGAGAGAGAGAGACATTGATTTGTTTTTCCACTTATTTATTCACTCATTGGTTGACTCCTTGTATGTGCTCTGACTGGGGAGGTTTGAACCCACAACCTTGGCATATCGGAAAGATGCTCTAACCAACTGAGCTACCTGGCCAGGGCTAAATATATTAATTTTTAAACTTTGAAATAATCCCTTAGCTTTCTTAAGAATTTTAGGTGTTTGCTTCTTCAAGAAATAAACTATGTAAGTGCAAAAGACAATTGCTTGTTTAACCCCTTGAGTGTCGGGGAGCACAATCGCGCTCCTCCTGTCTTTCGCCAAAAGTGCCGGGAGCGCTATCAAAGCTTAGAAATGGCGTCCAGTTCTAAGTCTGCTTTTATTAGTGATGATGATATTGCTAAATGTAGTAAAGGTTTCCTTCATTTACTTGCGATTCATAATTTTTTTCCTACACTGCTGTAAAATCAGCAAAAATGCCTTGGCAATTTTAGCATAGTTCCTAGGATATTGGTTGGCACTCAGAGGGTTAATGTTCTTCAAAACATTGACTTACTTGTTTCAGTTTTACAAGAAAGATGAGTTATACATTTATAATTTTCTATTCTTTCACTTTTTTTATTTTTTAAAATATATTTTTATTGATTTCAGAGAGGAAGGGAGAGGGAGAGAGAAATAGAAATATCAATGATGAGAGAGAATCATTGATTGGCTGCCTCCTGCACGCCCCCTACTGGGGATCAAGCCCACAACCTGGTCATGTGCCCTTGACTGGAATCGAACCTGGGACCCTTCAGTCCACGCTCTATCCACTGAGCCAAACCAGCTAGGGCTATTTTTTCACTTCTGTGTCCTCATTTCTCCTCCTCTTTCTCGGCTTAGGTGTTGCAGTTTCTCATTTCGCATTCTGATACCATACAAGCAATCCTGCGCTGCCAGGACGTCAGTGCCGGGTCTTTGCAGGAACTGGCTCTGCTCACAGGAATTATAAGTAAAGCAGCACTTCCAGGTGAGTTGAATGTGTTGAACGGATCTTTAATAATTCTTTTCAAACTTACATGTGCACTTAATAGAATGAGGTTTTTATTACCTTGAAGTACTAAGTTTATTTTTGTAAAAATGATACAAATTATTATAAAAAATTCAGAATCTAAGAAAATAATCAACACTTAAAATCCCACTACCCAGAAATTACCACAAGTTAACGTTTGGTAAGTAGCTTTTCAAACATTGTTCTATGTTTGAACAATGCACATAAGAGACAGAGAGAAATAGAGATATACAGAGGTAATTTATAAGAATGGTATTACCTTTTACGTGCAGTTTTTAGAAAATAAGTAATTTTACATAAACTTAACAGATAAAAAACTAATTGAAGAGAAACTGAAGACATTGCTAAATTCCAGACAGATGTTTTTTTACCACAAGAGTCCAAGAGATAATAGTTCTTAAAAATGATTATGAAAAATTAAGATACTTTGGTCATTTTTAAAAATGTAATCTCTCTCTCTTTTTAAATATATATATATAAAATCAGAGGTGGGTATTTGTTGAAGAACAAGTACAGACTCCTACATGGGGAGGGGGCAAGAGTCTCCTTAATCTCTTAAATGCATGTAAATTTTAGACAGTTAACTCCTGATGTGAAAGATAAAATGATGAGTTCTTTTATAATTCCTTTTCCACTTTCAGATTATGTTTGTTTATATTATTTTTACTTTGTCAGGTTTTATAACATTTACATTCAGTCCTAAAACCATAATATCTTCAGCTATTTAGTTTTACTTGTATATTTACACAGGGTTACTGAAAAACACCAATTCTTTATTTTCCTCTCATGGTTTCACCATTCCTGAGTTTGCTCTTTTGCTATATCTCTTTGTATTTTTAATTTGTGTTGGAGTCCTCTCCCCCAAGGAAAACTTCCCTTAATTCTCTAATATTTATGAATGGCTAAAGGTTGCCTTTATTCTTGAATAAGAGTGTGGATGATTAGAATTTTCTTTCCCTCAGAACTTGTAATATTAATGATAATAGTTTATATTTATTAAGCATTTATGTGCCAAATATTGTTTTTTTAATCCTCACAACCATCTTATGAGGTATAACTATTATTGTCCACATTTTACAATGAGGAAACTGAGGCACAGAGAGGTTAACTTTTCCAAAGTGACATAGAAAATACTGGTAATAAAGAGTTTCCCAGACAGTATGGCTTCTGAGCCTGTGCACTTAACCTACTAGGCACTACTACCCCCTTTTTATGTTGGAGAAGTCTGAGACCAACCCCTGATTCCACGCCACCACCCTCAATATTTTTTTCCTCTCTGGGGCTATCTCTGTACCTGAGCGGGGAGTGTTTAGCAGGGCAGAGTATGGTACCTATAGAGGCACTTGGAGCCTGAGCTCATTCTCTTTTTGTTTTTTTATTGTTGTTGTTAATCCTCACCTGAGCATATATTTCCATTGATTTTTAGAGAGAATCATGGAACCAGGGTTCCATGAGAAATTGTAAGAGTTTCTTGGTTTATTTGCTTTCCTCCATACTGCTTGTGAGGAGGCGATAAGGGCCATCATCAGACTCATGCTGCTTACTCCACCAGAATTTTCTCTCTCTCTTTTTTTCTTAGCTACCACTATTCTTAACTATTTATGGCATAAGTTGGCGCCTTTCCTTTTTTGGTTCATTTTGTTCATTTTGTAAGTTGATGACAGGAGGTGCATTTCTATGATGCTACTTTATTTTACCTTCTTTACCCAGAAGTCCTAGGTTAGGTATAGAGACTTACCTTTTAGCAGATCTTCTGGCAAAGTGGTTTTATTGATGAAGTTTCCTTTCATTACTTTTTTTAAACATCTAAAAATTCTCTATTTTGCTAATAGCATCATTTGACTATGTCAGTATTAAGATTTTATTTAGAAAAGCACAATTTATTTTAACATGCTCTTGATAAATTCAAACAAAATAAAAGAACAGAGTAAAGGTATTCTGACCAGCAATTCCTGCTATCTAAAAGGAACCAGATGTCAATTTAATTTATTTTTCTAGAAATTACACTCCAGGTATGTGTAAAAATTTCCCCTCCTTACACAAGTGAAATTATACCATACATACTGTTCTGTAACATTTTTTCCATTGTGTCTTTATCTTTTCTCATCAGCATATATAGCTCCTACTTCATTCTTTTTAATTAGCTGCATAGTTTTCCAGTTGTGACATAATTAACCAGACCCCTATGATATGTTGACTGTTTCCAGTCTTAAAAATTCAACTGTGTGGCATTTAATACTGTGTGTGTGTGTGTGTGTGTGTGTGTGTGTGTGTGTGTGTGTATGCATTTTTGCAGATTTGAGCTGGTAGGCTTGATACATTTCTGGCATTGCCTGGTCAGAAATAAAATATATATATATTTTAAAGATAATACCAGATACCCTTCCAAATTTTAAAACAATTTCACTCCTGGCAACCCTACTCTGTACAGTTTGGTCCTCGATTACATACTGTTTTGTATTTTATAATATCATTAATTTGTCTTAAATGTTCCCATTAAATTTTAAGTCCATTTATAACTTTGTGTACCCCATATTGCCTAGCCCAGTACTGGTTATGTCACACCTCCTCAAATACTTATTGGCAGGTTAATTTTTCTATGACCCACAGATATTCTGAAAAGGATTTTGAAGTTGAAAGTGATACTTACGGTACACAGAGTAGTCAGGTGACATTTAACAAAAGGGTCCTATAGAAACTGAGAATTGATGGTCTTTTTAAGTAGAAGCAGCAGTTGATGTGCAGGGGTAAAAAACAAAACAAAGCCAAAAAAAGTGAATGAATGGGGAATAGCAACACATGTTGCAGAGTACAGAAATTTCGAGGACAAAGGAAAAAGCCGCAGTTCCATGATATGTTGGGTACAAAATCCAGCTTTCAGGGTGGTTAAGATGGGAAAGAAGGGCATAAGAATTACAAGCAGAAAATATTTCAAGAATTTGACATGAACCAGGTTTTTGTCTTATTTTGGAATGTAAGGGAGACCTGACACATTTCAAATAGTGAGGAAAAACCCTCTGTGGCAGGGAGGTTTTAGTATGCTAGAGAAGAAAGTGAATCGGGAGCAGACTCCCAGAGGAGGAGGTGGGCAGGGCTGGCATCTAGTGGAGTCATGAAGCTCAGGTGAGGCATAACAAGCCAGCATGTGCTAGCTCATGAGTATATCCTGTAAGCTTGTGTTGAGGTCATGGGCCAAAAAATCTACAAAGAGGACTGTCATTATAAGGAGCAAAGGCTGAGATTATAGGCCATGGAGCATATGCTTGGAAATAAGAAATGAATTAAAGAGGTTGTGAAAATGCATAGAAAGTTAGGGTGGCTAAGACAAGTTGAGGTGGGTTCTCCTTAGCATGTCCATAGTCATGGAAGAAAGAAAGAAACCAATGGGAGAATGACCTGTGTGTGGGTTTGCTTGGAGGGCTAAATAGAAATAAAGAGAGTCCGTGGTATTATAAGAAATTGATCAGCTTGATTTAGGAATTTTGAAATGGGTCCAAACTGAGAAGTTGAATGGAAAATTTTGCATATGTGCAAAACTAGTTTGACTAAAGGAAAAGAACAAACCAAATGATGCAATACCTAGAAAAGGTAAAAGAGGTGCATTTTATTCTTAGTGTTTTATATTCTAAACTCTTTCATGAAAAAATAATTTATTGCTGAGTTTAGAAATTTTTAACTTTTATGGCTATAGGTAAAAAGTAGATTTTTCTCAAAAACTTTAAAAAGTGCCTTTTAAAATCACTAATTGATCTAGATTTAGATTGCATATCTAAATTTCTCCAAAATCCTCTTGGTAGAGTCTGTATCTATTTATGCAAATAAAGACTATAAAATACTAGAACTGCTCCTTTTAGCTTCGTAATGTTTTTATTTTCTTGATTATAAAACTACATTTAAAGGCATTCCAAATTTTCTAGGTATATTAAGTGAACTGGATGTTGATGTAAATGAAGGATCTCTAATGGAGCTACAGGGACATATTGGAAGATTCCAGGTAACTGATTCTTATTTCTTTAAAGAGGAGTTGTAACACTTTTAGCAAAATACAACAGTCCCTTCACTCATCCTCCCCAATCTGCTGTCTGGATTTGGGCAAACCCTTTCAACTATTTTAATTGATTCTTGTTATCTCTAAATAACATGCTTATATTGCTACTATATTGATTATCCAATTTTAGGAATCATCATTGACTTCCCATTGAGGAAGTTAAGAATCTAGATCTCTTTACTCCTTTTCTTCCATCATAATGTATGTGTATTTCTTATTACCTTCTCCCTCCCCTCAAATTCAGCGTAACTATACTATAATTTTGATTAGATCAATGTTTGGTGTTACATTGTTATTACTGTGTAATTGTCATGGACAATATATTACTTTCCTGTGTAACATCGTTTTCCCTAGAATAAGTACTTTTCTTTTTTTATTTGCTTGACTTTTCTGTACCTATTTCTAATTTATTCACAAACTCTTCTCCAGTTGTGTAATTTCCTATCAATATATTCAAACATATTAGATAGCTTATCAATTAGATATCACAGTCTTTCTGGGAGCCCCCTGGCCTGCTTTAATCATCTTCACTTTTTATTGGCTGCAGAATAATTTATGTACTAGAATTTATATACCATTGGTTTTGATACAGTAATTTTTTTAACCAATCCTCTTTTCATAAACTGTTTTTCAAGTTTCCAGAAATAAATGCTGCCTTCAGCATTTTTGCATGCAAAATTTTAAACTATAGATTAAATAACATAGCCAGTATCACTATATCCAAGGATATACACATAGTGCATTTTGAGTTATTGTCAAAATGGGTTGCACTCTCACCGACAAAACCCAAATACTCCTTTTTTCCCCCTCAGTCGTTTCACTTTTTTCATTGGTAGGGAGAAAAACATATCTTTGATGAATTATCCATAAGTTGACCTCTTGGACATGTTTTAGTGCATCTGTTTCATCTGTAAGAATAGCAAACAGCTAGTTATAAATGTTAAAAATAGACATAACTGTTTTGACAAAATAAGTGTATATTATAGTTTGTTTTGCTTTATTCAAACTTACTGCTTAAATATCTGTTTAAATAAGGTATTATGGAAGGCAGAAATTGCTACTATCACTCTAGAAATGTGGCCCCTTTTTGAAGTCCCCAGAAGTGGTCATGGGAGTAACAGCCTTTAAATTTGAGCTTTAGTGGACAGTTATCATGGCCGTGCTTGTGAAGATTGTCTTCTGTTTGCCATTTCACCTTGCTTCTCATTGTTTATTGTGTTTTTTTAATGAGTGTGTACCAAGGAATTATTTGGTGTGATACAGAGAATTCTTTGGCAAACACTTAGATTCTAGTTGGGATTCACTCACTGCTAAAAAAATTGATATTCTTGTAATGAGTTGACTGCCAAGCATTAACATTTGCAAAAAGGTGAATTTAATAGTGGTAGCTTTAGTTTGCTCCATTAGAATAAGAAATCAGATGTGTTAAAGAGTGATTCCACTCTCCCCTGAGTTTTTCTTTTTTATAGCCCTCAAGAAAGGGAGGCTGCTAATTTTAAACATTTAACTAAATATTAACAAAATATCTTTCCTTTCTTAGCGCCAGTGCTTGGGACTACTAAGTCGCTTTGGTGGCTCTGACAGACTCCGTCAGTTTAAATTTCAAGATGATAATGTGGAAGGAGACAGAGTGAACAAGAAAGATGAAATCGAACTCGCTATGCAACAGGTAAGGGGAGTGAGAACTGTGTACCTGTTCTTTAAGGTTTTTATGTTTTAGAAATATTTGATAAAAGTAACATTTGAGTAATTTTATAAATTGATTTATAACTTTTTTGTCATTTTACAATTTGATCATAACTTTGTTCTTCATATCTGGATTTCCATGGTATTAGGACATTTGGGAGCTCATGTTTTTGTTACTGCTCTTCTTTGTTGTAGATTTGTGCCAATGTCATGGAATATTGCCAGTCACTCATGATGCAGAGTTCCCCTACCTTTCAGCATGCTGTGTGCCTCTTCACCCCGAGCCTGTCCGAAACCATTAACAGAGATGGACCCCGGCAAGGTGAGCCTTGTTCTTTCTCTCTGTATTTGAGGAATTATGGTAAGTTGTTATGATTATGACAAACTCTAGTTGGCTCTAGGATAGCGGTTCTTAACCTGTGGGTCGCGACCCCTTTGGCGGTCGAACGACCCTTTCACAGCAGTTGCCTAAGACCATCCTGCATATCAGATATTTACATTACGATTCATAACAGTAGCAACATTACAGTTATGAAGTAGTAACAAAAATAATTTTATGGTTGGGTTACAATATGAGGAACTAACTGTATTTAAAGGGCCAGAAGGTTGAGAACCACTGCTCTAGTAAGATGTGATTTTTTTTCCTTTGTGTAACAATGGGAAAATTTTAAACCAACTTTTTAAGAAGGAGTGGTGAGGAGGTACTATTGTCAGACCTGTGGATAGGCTGGGAGCTCGAGAGAATAGAGAAATTCTAGATTTTCTGAGGATAAATCTAGAAGAGTCTTGTGGCCAAAGTATAGTTTTCAATAGTACTTGAGATCCCAAAGGAAGGACCTAGGTTTGGGGAATAAGCTAGCTGGGTGAAAATACAGAAATGTAACAGCCCCATCCTCTCCAAACATATAGTAGACTGATTGATAGCATGTAATCGGTCCCTGAGTCTGTTCATTTAAAAATTGTTTTTTCCTTTTTATTCATTTCCTTAAATATTTTCAGTTGATCTATCTTCAAATTCATTTATTCTTTCCTGAGTCAGTTCCATTTAGCTGTTAAGTATATCCAGTGAATTTTTTATTTCAGAAATGGTATTTTTCAGTTCTACAATTTCCATTTGGTTTTGTGATATCATTTATATTTTTTCTACTGAGATATCCTGTGGTTTTTATTGATTGTGAGCTTATTTTGTTTTCTCTCGGTTAGGATAGTCAGAATAGCTACTCTGAAACCCTCATTCACTAATTTCCAACATCTCGTTCATCTGAGATTAGATTTGATTGGTTTTCTTGTCTCTTGAGAATGTCTTCCACTTTCTTAGTTGTCGCATGTGGGGTAATTTTAAATTGTATATTACATTCCCTACCAGTGTGCCTGCTTCTGTTCACTCTGGTACCGTCAGGTAGTTGTTTTTGTATTGTGTCTAGGTTTTCTACTTGTTGTCTGGTATGATTTTAGTTTGTCATACTTGGAAGCAGAAGTTCTTAATATCTAACAAGTTACCTTTACTTAAAAGATACCTTTCATTCAGCGATTCATTTGGAGAGTAGTCTTACTTAGGTAAGAGTATGTCTTAATGAAATTGAAGAAGTAGCTGTAAAGCTTCATAGTTATATTCTGTGGGATAAATGGGTATTAAACCATTTAGATTGGAGATATAAAACAATGGCTTTGACATGATTAAGCAAATTAATTCTACATAGTTCTAGCTTTGTCTTATATTCAGTAAGTTTGCTTCCAGGAAGATCACTGGAATAAGAAGATGTTGCCCTGGGAGGAGTTCCACTTTAGGGAGATACGGATCCTCACATGTGCTCGCTGGGTGGTTCAGCAGAGGTGAAAGATCATCTTCACCTTGGAATGATTGGCGGTCCTACCCTAAACCCCTCATTCAGAACAGTGGTTTGCATATCACCCAGCAGTGACATTTAACCTCATCCATCCCCTCTCTGTCTGGCAATTTGTGATTGTAGTTCTTGATGAAGACCTGATTACATCAAGAAGGCAATCCCTTTCTTCCCCCCTTAAATCTTAAATTTTTAAAAAACACGAGATTTTCAAACCAATAATTTTGTCATTTATTCTTCAAAAACATTAATCATATGCTAATAATGTATCAGTAGTAATTATTAAGACTTCATTTTAATCTTTCACAAATAATTATCATTCTTTAATCTTTAATACTTAAAGATGAACTTTATGAAGCCATATAAATTGATCTTTATTTTCCCTCAGGCTTTTTAAAGAGTTAACAAGCACATTTTCTTCTGCCAGTTCTAGACATGGGAGTGGGCAGGTGTGTGGTAGGTGTGAGAACACTGAGTTATAGAGAGGCACTTGAACCTACTGGTTAAGAGCACAGTAGGTGACGAACTGCCTAGATTTGTGTCCCAGTTCTATAAGTGACTGTTTGTATGACTTCAGAAAATTCACTTACCCTCTTAGTGCCTCAGTTTCTTTATTTGTGAAATAGCAAATAAATGAATGCTCCAATGAATGACTGTAAGGATTAAATGTGTTACTATATGTAAAGTGTTTGAGAACAGTGCCTGGCCCTTAGCAATACCTAAATGTTAGCTATTATTATTTTTATTATTGTTGTTGTTATCATTTAGTATATTTACTATTACTTGTGATCCAGGGACCCTTTCCTATAGCACCTCTATTGCCAGACCTCATGATCTTTCCTGTGGAATCTGTTTCTGTAGTCAAATTTCTTAGGAGCCATCTTCATCTGATGTCTATGTCTGATAGCCTATGAACATTGGTCTTTTCTAGACTTGAGCATGTCAGTGTGAGAACTCCTAAAATGCTATGGAGTATTCTTAGCATTAGACTATCTTCTTCGTAGATATCTTCCTACCAGGGGAGATACCACACAAATGTTAACTGGGGACCAGGGTACGTAAGTTCACCAGGAGGAGGCTCTGTGTAGATGTGATGACCTGTATCATCTTCACTGAAGACTGGAATGGAAACCTGAAATCAGATGTGTCTGGGATATCCTGGTTGCTGTCAGCACCCACTGATAAGGGGCTGTTTTCTCTCTTCCCCTCCACATGAAGACCCATGAGATCTGACTTTGGAGCAAAGTTAAGGGAGGCTGTAGTGAAGGAAGCAAATGCTGATCTCTCCTTTACTGTACATGGCAGTTAGGGCCATTCAACAAAGATGTCTCCAAATTGAACCTGAAGTTGCTAAGGTGTTTCTGAAGAAATTCCTCAGTCATAGAGGAAAGTGCTCTGTTTGCCCTCACAGGCTGTCTGTAGAGTAGCAGTGGTATTTTCTCTAGCTCTTCCCTCTGCAGGCACCTTTTCTGACATTTCGCCGTTCCTGTACCTTCATCAGAAGGTGATCAAGTCAAAAGCAGATCATCTTGTTTTGCTACCCAAATGGATTTACTGTGGTAAAAGACTCATTAAAATTCAAATCCAATGCTGTCCTATAATAATGAAACCCTAATATACAAATCAACCGAACAATGGAACAACCGGTTGCTATGATGTGCACTGACCACCAGGGGGCAAACACTCAACGCAGGAGCTGCCCCCTGGTGGTCAGTGCATTCCGAGGCAGCACTAAGGACCCTTTAGGGGATGTCCAACTGCCGTCTTAGTCCCGCTCCCCACCAGCAGGCCGACATCCCCCGAGGGGTCCTGGATTGTGAGAGGGCTCAGGCCCAGCTGAGGGACCGCCCTCCCTCCCCCCAAGTGCATGAATGTTGTGCACCGGGCCTCTAGTTTTTGAATATTTTAGTTGGTATTTTCCTTCTTTCTTTGGAAGAATGACTTTGAGCTGAGAATTCAGCAACCAGAAAGATGCAGGCTGGCAATGAACCCATGTAACTAGAGCAGTAGGATGAGGCAGGAGTTACTCACCTGGGGTCAGGAAACTCCAAACTTGTGTATATGGTCTGGGGGTTGGGGTTTGGGGTGGGGAGATGGGAATAAAGGTTTATAACTAACATAGAATTCTGAAAGACATCTTTAGTCAGGAAAGGGTAAGCTCTATCTGTGTCAATTGCCACATTTCCTTATTCTCTCAAGGTCTTCAGCCTTATGTTCACCCCTGATTATGGACTCAGAGTAGCTCCTAGCCACTCCTTTGAACTGTCAATGGTATTTAAAAGTAGTCTTGGGTTGGTTTTAATAATAGTTTACATGCCCTTAAATTCCTGAGCATCCCTTGTTTAAAACAGGTCATTTGAAATACATATAAAATGCTTACACGTGGAACATTGTTTTTTATCATCAACTCTGTTAGATACCCAAGCTCCAGTAGTTCCATATTGGCGCCTGCCTGGTTTGGGCATTATTGTCTACCTACTGAAACAGAGTGCTAATGATTTCTTCAGCTACTATGACAGTCATCGGCGGAGTGTCAACAAGTTACAGAATGTAGAGCAACTTCCACCAGATGAGATAAAAGAGGTATGAATCTTATAATGGGCTGTGAAGCCACTGACTTTACTAATAAGTACCAGGGTACTGATGTCAGACTTGTGAGTAAAGATGACGTATGCAGTGAGACAAAGGGAATTGAAATTATTCCTCTGTGTGACTTGAAGAAGAGTCCCTCACCTTAGCGCCACGCCTTGTAAGCATAGACTCTTGAATGAAAGACAGTGAAGTTACACCTGTTCAAGAAAACCACCTGCCACCAGCAGAATGGCAGCTGGCCTTTGTGTAAGATAATTTATACTCTAAAGTCTGTGCTGAGAAACAGGCTTCTACTCCAGGTGCTTATTCAGTAAATGTGATATCCTTAGGTAAGATGTCTCTACCTTCAGTATCTTCAGTACCTGTTTAGTAAAATTTTCAGACAAGGAGATGGAGTAACAGATGTGACTGCCTGCTCTCAAATACCCAGAATCATTCCCTGGCATTTATTGCAGCTAAAGATGCTGAATTGCCAGGCTTGCTCCCTAAGTAGCCTGCCATCTTTCCCATTTGGCACAGGGATCTCTTGGCATTGCTGCAGCTTCCTCTGTTCTATGGCAGCCTGGGCCATTTTACCACTCCTGGTTTTCACCAGCTTTCCTAAAAAACTCTTCAGAGTAGTCAATGCCTACTCCCTCTTGCCACTCTTCTGATAATCACAGGGAACCTTTCTTGAGTGTTTATAATGTGCCAGGCCCTAGCTACAAGTTCTATGAATGAATATATGAGGCAAATGTTGTTCTCATTTCTTTGATGAGGAAACTGAGGCACTGGAAGTTTGAATGCCCAAAGCCCTAGCTAGCAAGTCCACATTGAGTCAGGAGTTACTGACTGGGTTCAGGTAGTCCTGAAAGTGAGTGACTTACGTCAGGCAGCCCTTCCCCCCTCATGCCAGCTTATGGGCGATGCCAGTACTCGCAAGAGGAACTGTAGCATCATAATAAAGTACATGACCTTCAGTACACCCTCTGCCAGAGACAGTGTCCGAATTTTAATTGAACCATGTGCTTATAGGTCTGCCCAACAGAGTGGTGACCGCAGAGGTTCCGGTTGGTGATCATGTTTTTTATGCTCTAGAAGTCTACTTTACATTTTCTTCAGAAGATATGTGACAGCTGTTAAAGAAGTGCTGCATGGCATTGTTACACCTGCTGCTGAAAAAACCTGCTGTTCTCTTCTGTCTTAATTTGACAGGAAATTCAGGGTTGATTAGAAATGTCTGTTTCAGGGACAGGACTTTTTCAAAAAGTAACAGATGAATATTCATTTGTAATTCGACTGCTTCATTTTTTTGTTATTAGCTTCCTAATTAGAAAGTGACTTTTCCCTGCCAGGATGTTTAGATTTATTTGAATGTTTTTCACAGTGCTTATAACAAGCAACCCTCTTATAGTACATTTTTGTTACAGTTGTGTCATTCTTAATACTGCATTTGTTTCTTTTTCTTAGTTGTGTCAGTCTGTGATGCCTGCTGGTGTTGATAAAATCTCCACTGCCCAGAAATATGTTCTAGCAAGACGGCGTTTGGTGAAGCTGATCAACAATCGAGCTAAACTGCTTTCCCTTTGTTCTTGTATCCTTAGCAAAATCACAGTGGGACTTGACCTTTCAGAGAACCTGCCAATGTAGGAACTGTTTACTTATTCTCATGTTATTTGGGCATCAAAACCATATAGAAAGGGCCATAATTACTGTTCATTTTTTCCCCAGTAAATGCCTGATGTATTTCAAAATAGAGTTATTTTTCCTTTAGAGTAGCTAATGACCTTGATAATGTACAGAACCTTTCTGTCTGGACAGGAGACAAGGACACCGGAGACTGCTGGCACAGTGCCCCACGGTCCCCACCTCCTTCTCAGCACATCTTGCTGCTTCTGGGGAGACGTCTTCCGGCTTCCGTGGAGTCATACCCCTGGCTGTTTACTGAGGCTGTGGGTACATCACTAGGTGGTGCAGTCTCCTTTTTTCTCCTCCTCAGAAACTGGTTTGTAAAAAGCACTTGTTGAGATTGTTTTCCTTTACTTGAGCTCTCTGTAGTTATCATAGAGACCTGCCTATTTATTCTTTGGCGCCACCTGGAGTACTACTTGTTACATTGCACACCCACGGATTCTCAAGATTCTTTGTTTGCCTCCAGGACATTGTTAAAAAGCAGAAGGCTACAAGGTAAACATTATTCTGCAAATTAATGAACCATAAATGCCTTTGGATTTCAGTGCCTTGAAAAACTAGTCACATTTTAATTTATTTTCTGTGTCTAGGTTATTAAGAGTTGATTGGATAATCGAGAGCTACTTAGGTATTAGGCACAGCTTGACTTTATAGTTTACTTCTAGCCGTGGGAAATTGTGCAGAGCATAAAAGCATCTTAGCAGCTGCTCCTCAACTTCTTTCAGTTAAGAGGTGAGCCAGCTCCAGCGTCCCCTGCTCACAAGTAACTGTCCAAAAGAATGGAAGTGGGTCAGCCGAGGCCAGGGTTCTCGTTGCTGGAGTGAGCCTCTCTCATTGATGAGAATGTATTGGGTCCCTTGGGGGAAAACAGAAGACAAGCTTTCGAGCCCTGGCCCAGACCATCGAAATGCTTCCTGGGGGCTTCCATGAACTGAAAATTGAAATCAGGTTCTCATCTTGACCCATGTTTTCCATGGCACTGTGGTTCATTGTCTCCAGGTTGTTCCACTGTGTTGTAGACAAACTGCAGAGAAGGTTTGAGTATGTCTTTTGTTTCTAGATTCTTTTGCTTCAGAAGCCAATATGGATTTTAGAAGTGGACTGACAGTAGTGAGTCAACATGACATAGACCAGGTAACGTTCAATTCTATGCTCTTTTTAATTTCTGAAAGGAAAAAGGAGAAGTCTAGTATGTTAGTAAGACTGTAATTTTCAGGATGTATAAAAAGGCCAGATTTGAATTCTGGCATGGCCACCTAACAGCTATTGACGTGGAACAACTTACTTAACTTCTGAGCCTCCATTTTCTCATAGAAAAATGGGAATGATAGTGCAACTTCAGAGAATTTTTTCAGAATTAACTGAGGTTTCATATTTGAGACTCCTAGGATAGTGCCTGGAACCTAGTAGAGTTAAGTAATTGGTAGGCATTAAGATCTAGAAATTCCCAATTTTTTTTATTAACTTTGTAGAATTTTTAGGCACAAATTAACAACACTTAAATTTCAGAAAATTTAATGGAGAGATTGTGAGTAGCCATTAAAAATTTAACTCCAGTAGACTATCATATTGTACAGTCATGTGTCGTTTAACGGCAGGGATACATTTTCAGAAGTGTGTCGATAGGCAATTTTGTGGTTGTGCGAACATCATAGCATGCACTCCCACAAACCTAGATGGTATAGCCTACTGGATACCTAGGCTGTATGGCACTGTTACATGGCAGTTGCTACTGGGCTACAAACCTGTACAGATAGCATGTTACTGTACAGGATACTGAAGGCAATTTTAACCCAATGGTATTTGTGTATCTAAACATATCTAAATATAGTAAAGCAACAGTAAAAATATGCTATAAAAGATAAAATGGTACGCCTGCATAGAGCACTTACCAGGAATGGAGCCTGCAGGATGGGAAGTTGGTCTGGGTGAGTTAGTGAATGAGAGGTAAGAGAATGTGAAGGCCTAGAGCAGTGATCAGCAAACTCATTAGTCAACAGAGCCGAATATCAACAGTACAATGATTGAAATTTCTTTTGAGAGCCAGATTTTTTAAACTTAAACTATATAGGTAGGTACATCATTATTAACTTAATTAGGGTACTCCTAAGGCTTAGGAAGAGCCACACTCAATGGGCCAAAGAGCCGCGTGTGGTTTGCAAGCCACAGTTTGCCGACCACGGAACTAGGGCATTACTGTACATTCCTGCAGACTCTAAACACTGTACACTTAGGCTACACTAAACTATTTAAGTTTTTTTTTTGTTCAATAAGTTATTGTGACATTTTTACTTCTAAATTTTTAAAAACTTTTTTACTCCTTTGTAATAACACTCAGCTCAAAACACAAACTGTATAGCTGTATAAAAATATTTTTATGTCCTTATTCTTTTTTTTTTTTTTTTTTTTTAATATATTTTATTGATTTTTTAAAGAGAGGAAGGGAGAGAGAGATAGAGAGTCAGAAACATCGATGAGCGAGAAACATCGATCAGCTGCCTCCTGCACATCTCCTACTGGGGATATGCCCGCAACCCAGGTACATGCCCTTGACCGGAATCGAACCTGGGACCTTTCAGTCCGCAAGCCGACGCTCTATCCACTGAGCCAAACCGGTTTCGGCTATGTCCTTATTCTATAAGCTTTAAGCATTTTTCTGTTTATTTACTGTTAAACTTTTTTGTTAAAGACTAAAACAGAAGCATACACATTAGCCTAGCCCAGGGGTGGGCAACCCCTGGCACACGTGCCAAACATGGCACACCAGTAACTTTTGCTGGCATGCGAAACCCTCTCTTTTAATCTTCCATTTACAATTTTTTTCTAAATATCAACTTTTATTTTTCAGATAAATTCAGTGTAGGTGCATCTTAGATAAATAAATAATTTTTTTTTTTAATATATATTTTATTGATTTTTTACAGAGAGGAAGGGAGAGAGATAGAGAGTTAGAAACATCGATGAGAGAGAAACATCGATCAGCTGCCTCCTGCACATCTCCTACTGGGGATGTGCCCGCAACCCAGGTACATGCCCTTGGCCGGAATCGAACCTGGGACCTCTCAGTCCGCAGGCCGACGCTCTATCCATTGAGCCAAACCGGTTTCGGCGATAAATAAATAATTTTACATAACATGTATATATTAAAAAAATAAATGTATTTTTCATCATCATATACTGTGTTTTTGTCGCTCGAATGAATTTTATTATTTCTTCAAGGTTCTTCACATACGTACACCTTAAGAGATATCAAGTAGGCGTAACATGTTCTCAAAAAATTAGGGTTGGCACG